CATGGACCTGTGGATGTTGGAACATATAGCCAACACAAATCACTTTTATATTAAAGCATGACCTAAATAAAGCTCCGTCATTTGTTTTAATAATCCTATTCAAATTTTTACTCTGAAGCTTTTTTCATTGTGGTTTGAGTTTTGTTTGTTTTGTTGTTGTTGCTTTTGAAATTTTACAATCACCAAACTGCAGGTGGGCAACCCAGCGCTGACTTGGTCACAGGCTCAGCTGCTTTCCAAGCTCCAGGCTTTAGGTGGGAAGCGCCTCCAGCCCCACCCCTCTAATCGCAGGCTCTGCCCTTCCATTGGCTGGCTAGGAGTGACCTGGGTGCCCAGGAGGTTCCTGGGACCCAGGCATGTATGCAAGTTAACTGCCATCTTTGTTGGGTTGATTTGCATACTCTGATTGGCTGTGGGCATAGTGGAGATACAGTCAATTTACATGTTTCTCTATTAGATAATATGGTTACAGAATAGATAGTGAATGTGCTTCATGCATTTTAGTGCTCTAGTTACCTGTGTATTTGTTGTAACTTTATGAACTTTATAAGCAAACTTTCTATGAACTCCCCTTTGAAAAATAAAGCCAGAGATTATAGTATTAGAATTCAAGCTAGTTGCTTGTTCATTTATTTATTGAGTTGAAACATACCTGGAATTGCTCAGGTATACAGTATAACAAATCATATAATCCTTCATTACTTATCATGCAACTTAAACTCAAATATTTGTTGAATAAATAATGTCATGTACCTTTAAGATGAGCAATGGTTTCCAACACTGATTTTGAGACCTGCCTTTCCCCCCTCATAGTTATTACAAGACACAATTGTAACATGTTTAAAAAATAAATAGTATGGATAAACCTTTAACCAGGCTCATCAAGAAGAAAAAAAAGAGAGGACCCAAACAAAATAAAAAATGAAAGAAAAGGAATATAAAGGATTGTAAGAAAATACTATGAACACTATATACCGACAAATTGGACAACCTGAGCAAAATCCCTAGAAACATGCAATCTTTTAAAACTGAATCAGGAAGAATCAGAAAACCTGAATAGACTGATTACAACTAATGAAATTGAAGTAGTAATAAAAAAAACTATCAGCCTAAAAAAGTCCTGGACTAGATGGCTTCATAGGCGAATTTTACCAGATATTTAAAGAACTAACACGTATCCTTCTCATACTATTATAAAAAATCCAAGAGGAGAGAAGATTTCCAAGCTTTTTTTTTTTTTTTTTTTTTTTTTTTTTTTTTTTTTTTACCAGCGCAGCATAATTCTAATTCCAAAACCAGAAAAAGATACTACAAAAAAAGAAAATTAATTAGTGGCCAATATCCCTGATGAACATACATGCTAAAATCCTCAACAAAATATTAATGTGTGGACCCAGCACACATTTTAAAGATCATATACCGTGACCAGGTGGGATTATTCTGGGGATGCAGGGTTGATACAGTATTCGCAAATCAGTACATGTGATACATGAGATAAACAATATGAAAAATAAAAACCACATGATTGCCAATGCCGGTTTGGCTCAGTGGTAGAGCGTCGGTCTGCGAACTGAGGGGTCCCGGGTTCAATTCCGGTCGGGGGCATGTCCCCGGTGGGGGGTGTGCGGGAGGCAGCTGGTCGATGTTTCTCATCGACGTTTCTAGCTCTCTATCTCTCTCCCTTTCTCTCTGTTAAAAATCAATAAAATATATTTTTTTAAAAACCCACATGATTATATAAGTAGGTGCAAAAAAAGCATAAAATCAGCATCCATTTATAATTTAAAAAAAAAATCTCAGTACACTGGGAAAAGAATGATTTTACCTCAACATACCAAAAGCCATATATGAAAAACTAACATAATCAGTGGGCAAAAACCAAAAGCGTTTTCCTGAAGATGAAGAATAAGACGGGATGTCTGCTTTCACCACTCTTATTCAACACAGTACTGGAAGTCCTAGCCACAGCATCAGACAAGAAGAAATAAAAGGTATCCAAATTTGAAAGGAGGAAGTAAAACTCATTATTCGCAGGTGACGTGATATTGTACATTAGCCTCACATTTACTAGACTAATAAATGAATTTTGCAAAGTAGCAGGACACAAAGTTAATATTTAAAAATTAGTGGCATTTTAGCAATAATTAACATAAAGAGAAATCAAGAAAGCAATCCCAATTGCAGTTTTTAAATGTACCTCGGAATAAATTTAATCAAGGAGGTAAAAGATCTGTACTTGGAAAATTATAGAAAATTAAAGAAATTGAAGAAGATACAAATAAGTGGAAGCATATACCATGCTCATGGATTGGAAGAATTAACGTAATTAAAATGTCCATACTGTCCAAAGCAATCTATAGGCTCAGTGCAATTCCTATTAAAAAAAAAAAAAAAACAGTGGCATATTTCACAGGTCTAGAACAAATATTCCAGTACTTAATATGGACCCCAAAAAGAACCTGAATAGCCTCAGCAATCTTGAGAAAGACCAAAGTTGGAGGCATTAAGCTATACTGTGATGCCACTGTAATGAAAACAGCCTGTACTGGCGTAAGAACAGGCACATAGGTCAGTGGAACAGAACAGAGAGCCCAAATCAACCCACGCCTTCAAGGTTAATATTTGATAAAGGAGGCAAGAGCATACAATGGGGTAAAGTCAGTCTTTTCAGTAAATGGTGTTGAGGACAATGGGTAGGTATAGGCAAAAAAATGAAACTAGACTACCAACATACACCCATACATAAGAATAAACTCAAAATGTATTAAAGATTTAAATGTAAGTTGTGAAAACATGAAAGTCCTAGAAGAAAACAAAACAAATGGGACTACAAACTATAAAACTTTTGCACAGAAAAGAAAACCAATAGAATGAAAAGGCAAGCTACTGAAAGGGAGGACATATTTGCTGATATATCTGGTAAAGAGTTAATTTCTAAAATATATTAAGAATTTTTACCATTCAATACCAAAAACAAACAAATCCAATTAAAAAATGGGCAAGGAGCCTAAATAGATACTTCTCCAAAGAGGACATACCGATGACCAATAGATATATAAAGGAATGCTCAACATCACATCATTGGAGAATGGCTTCCGTTAATGAATCAACAAACAAGTGCTGGCGAGTATGTGGAGAAAAGGAACCCTTGTGCACTGTTGGTGGGATTGCACATTGGTGCCACCACTGTGGAAAGCAGTATGGATTTGCCTCAAACAATTAAAAATGGAACTGCCTTTGGCCCAATAATCCCACATGTGGTAATATCCTCAGAATCTCAAAACACTAATTTGAAAGAATATATCCCTATGTTCATGGCAGCATCGTTTACAATAGCCAAAATTTGGAACCAGCATAAGTGTCCATCAGTAAATGAGTGGATAAGCAAGCTGTAATACATTTACATAATGGAATACTACTCGGCCATGAAAAAAATATCTTTTTTGACAGCATGGATGGACCTGGAGATTATTATGCTAAGTGAAATAAGCCAGAGAAAGAAAAATACCATATGATTTCATTTATACGTGAAATTTAAATTTTATTCTATTCTAATGAACAGAATAAACTAATGTGCAAAATAGAAACGGAGGCATGGATACATGGAACAAAACACTTGTCAGAAGAGTGGAGGGAGGGGAGATTGGATGAAAGAAGGTAAAGGGATTAGCCAAAAGATATATAAACATAACACACAGACACAGATAACAACATGGTGATAGCCAGAGGGAAGGGGGACGGGCTAGGTGGAGGTGAGCAGAGGGAGAGGAAATGGGGACATCTGTAATAGTGTCAACAATAATAATGTTAAAAAATGAAAAAGTAAATATGCATGCCACATTTTATCCTTGAAGAAACTGATTTTGAAATCGGACACTAAATGGCACCTTCAGATCTACAAGATGAGGCCATCACTATAAAATTTAACTTCAATTTTTTGTGGTTTTCTGTGTGTGTGTGTGTGTTTTATGGAGCATAAAAATGAATTTAATTCATAGTCCTGTACTAGCTGTTTCTAAGAAAACAAAATAAATTTTAAAAAATCAGAATAGCAGTAGTTGAAAATCATATAGTGTTAATATTCTTATGTACTAAACAAAATATCAGTCTAGATAATATGGGAATTTCCACTATTTGTGTGTCTGTGCTTAATGGAAATTTTATAGGGATCGTAAGCATTGAATGGCAGCCACATTACTCAGTAGATTATAAAATTAGAGTCGTTAATATCTGAAAATTGATTATTCTAGTTTATGAATATCAAGTTTAATTGACCATCTAATTTAGTAGTACTGGTAAATAACTCCTGACCACCATGGGGAAGAAATTCCAAATCATTGTCTATTAGAACCAAAAAAAGGTTTTGGCATTTGGTGATTGCTTTTATCTTGTCAAGGGGATCTAGAGATTTACCTGGGAAAGAGTACGGCACTATAGGAATTAAGTATTAGTATTCTTTATCAGTACAAATTTTTTCAGTAGAGATCATTATTAAATGTACCTTGAGCTATGGTCGTTTAAATTTGAGGCCAGAATTATAACGTAACCATATATTTGATAATTTAATTAGCACAAGGAGATGATTGTATGAAATGAGTCTGGCAAGACTTAATGCATTCTAAATCCTCTGGAAACAAAGTTCTTTGAAATCACGGTGATCTGAGTGTAGAATAAATAAAATATAAACCTTTTTCAACACATGTTGTGGTAGGTGCTAACTAGGTCCTAGCTACTCTTCTATGATATTTTTTTCTTGTGGTAGCATTTCTGATAGTATGGACTGGTTTTCATTAACAGAGCTGTTACCTGAATAAAATGTTCCTGTTTACCTGTGAAAGAAAAAAAAAATATGTGGCTTAACTCTGCTAATAAAGAAATAGAGTCGATACTGTATGTAATTCAAGGCCAGTGATATGTGTAATCTGAGCAGATAAAACCAAATGTAAAGAGTCACAACTAATCTTATTGACCATTATTACTTTTTCTTTGCTTTTTCATAGGGTTTTGACCCACCACATCAAAGTGACACAAGAACTATTTACATAGCCAATAGGTTTCCTCTAAATGGCCTTTACACACCTCAGAAATTTATAGATAACCGGATCATTTCATCTAAGGTAAGAATTAATGCTATTATTAAAATTATATATATAATTTTAATTTTATATATTAAAATTTGTTTTGTAAAGTGATATGTGTATTTTGTAAAGTGATATGTGTATTTTAGTGTACATTTATTACCTTAAAAATTCAAGGAAATGATTGGTAGATTTATCTTAACCAAAATTGTGATCTGTAAAATAAAAAGGAATTGCCAACTGTTAATCGCATGTAGCAAACATACTAAAAATTATCTTCAGTTGCAATTAAACTAAGAAACTAATATTTATACTAAATGCCAGGCACTGTACTAGGAACTTTTCATATCATTTAACCCTTACAACAACTCTGAGATAGCTGTAGAAAGTGTTACATTCATTTTGTACCAATTTCATAATCGGGCTTGATGGGAAATAATTTACTGAGGGTTGCACACTAGTAAGTGATGAGATTGGAGTTTGACCTCAGTTCTATGCAACTTTAAAAAGCTTGACTTCATACAATTTTATTCTCTTCTGTAAACATGTTATAGTATCAAATACTGCTTCATTCTTACATATTCTTTCCTGTTTTATTTTTAAAATCTCTTAGTTTATTTTGAAAGTGAAGATTATAGAGTAATACTGTCCAATAAACTTGTTTCATGATGGAAATGTTTTCCACAGTAATATGATACCCATTAGCCACACATAGGGCTATGTATGCATTGAAATGTGGCTAATGCAACTGAAGAACTTAATTTATTTTCAATTAAATGTCAATAGTCACATGTATCGGGTCTAGTACTAATTAATGTCGTTTTTAAACATTCGTTTAAAATCTTGCTTGGCGTTGACTTGTATTGACATAACCTTCAAACACGTGGTATCTACAGAACGTGTGAAGTGCAATTAACAAGTTTTGCTTGAAAAAGTTTGTGTTTGGTTTGGTTTTTGTTGCAAAACTAGGGCTAAGAAGATGGCGGATGAAGAGCATATTCGGCACTGCATGCTTTACGAGTTCCAATTAGGAAGAAAAGCAAGTGAGGCTGCAAAAAACATCTGTAGTGCTCTTGGTCAAGATGCAGTTAGCGCCCGAAAATGCCAGCGTTGGTTTGAGAAATTTCGCGAGGGAAATTTTTCGTTAGATGACAAGAGTGGTCGAGGCCGTGTGTCCAATTTTGATCAAGAAGCTCTTCAAGCTCTTTTGGTGCAAAATCCTCAAATTACCCAACAAGAGCTTGCGACAACTTTAAATTGTTCACAAAAAACAATTTCCAATCAATTGTGTGCACTTGGCAAAGTCCAAAAGTTTGGAAAATGGGTTCCTCATGAGTTGACCGACAACAACCGTAATCAAAGAGTCACAATTTGCAGTTCGCTTCTCTCTCGTCAAAACCGTTTGCCGTTTTTAGAGCAAATTGTTTCCGGATATGAAAAATGGGTGCTGTATGTTAATTTGAAAAGGTGGCCTCAATGGTTGGACAAAAATGAGGCTCCGCAACCCACGCCAAAACCTGACTTGCATGCGAAAAAAGTGATGTTGTGTGTTTGGTGGAATTTTAAAGGAATTCTTCATTATCAACTTTTACCATCTAAGCAAACCATTACAAGTGCAGTGTATAGTGCCCAATTGGAAAGGTTAGCCCAAGCTTTAAGAGAAAAAGAACCCGCGCTGATTAATCGGAAGGGCATAATTCTTCACCATGATAACGCACGACCGCATACTGCAAGAATCACTGCTGAAAAACTGCGCCAGTTGGAATGGGAAGTTCTCCCTCAACCTGCATATTCTCCTGATATTGCCCCTTCCGATTACCATTTGTTTCGTTCTTTGCAAAACTTTCTTCTTGAAAAAAAATTTAATAATGAAGAATGCCTCAAAAATGCGTTGACCGAATTTTTTGCATCAAAATCACAAGAATTTTACAACAGAGGGATTAAAATGCTTCCTGAGCGTTGGGCACAAGTAGTAGAAAACAACGGCAACTATATTGTTGATTAAATTTTGTTGTATTGTTTAAATAAATTCGATTTAAAAAAAGTATTAGAAAACGACATTAATTATTACTAGACCTAATATCTAGTGGTTACCTTATCGGACAGTGCATTTATAGAGACTAAGGGTAACATTCTTAGATATACATATTGCTTAATAGAGGACCTAAGAAGCGTTTTGTGTTATTTCTTCCCTTACCTCCAGAGTGACTAGTAATTTTCTAATACTGATCTGGTCTTTCTCAAGGATAATGTCTCAGGACAATATCCTTTGGAAAGATCAGGTTATTTTGCTCTATTCATATTATTTGCATACTAGAGGCCCAGTGCATGAAACTCATGCATGGGGCCGGGGTGTCTCTCAGCTCAGCCAGCACCCTCTCTAATCTGGGACTCCTTGAGGGATGTCCAAATGCCTGTTTGGGGGATCGGGCCTAAATGTGTAGTCGGACATCCCTCTCATAATCCAGGACTGCTGGCTCCCAACTGCTTACCTGCCTCTGCATGATTGCCCCTAACCACTTCTGCCTGCCAGCCTGATCACCCCCTAACCACTCCTCTGCCAGCCTGGTCACATCCTCTGCTGGCCCAGTCACCCCTAACTTCCCTCCCTGCTTGCCTGATGGCCCACAACTGCCCTCCCCTATTGGCCTGGTCCTCCCTCCCAATTTAAACCCCCTACCATATATGTCTTAATCATTATGCTCCATGATTTACTTTAAATATTGTTATTGTGAAATATTTTCATACCCTTTATGAGATTTTCTTTGTGGGTATGCCAGTGATCACTTATTTAAAGTATTTTTTATTTCAATTTTTTTGTCAATCCTCAACAGGATATTTTTTCCATTTATTTTTTGAGCAAGGGGAAGGGAGGAGTAGGGGAAGAAAAAAGAGAGAAATATTGATGTGAGAGAGGCACATCAATGGGTTGCCTTTCGTACCCAGGTATGTGCCCTTGATTGGAATTGAACCTGAGACCCTTTGGTGCATGGGCTGACACTCGCACCATTGAGCCACACTGACCAAGTCTATTTTTTTTTAAAGATCTCTTACTTTTTTTTTTTTAATATATATTTTATTGATTTTTTACAGAGAGGAAGGGAGAGAGATAGAGAGCTAGAAACGTCAATGAGAGAGAAACATCAACCAGCTGCCTCTTGCACACCCCCTGCCGGGGATGTGCCCGCAACCAGTGTACATGCCCTTGACCGGAATCGAACCTGGGACCTTTCAGTCCGCAGACCGACGCTCTACCACTGAGCCAAACCGGTTTCAGTCCGCAGACCGACGCTCTACCACTGAGCCAAACTGGTTTCGGCGCACACGGCTCATAAATAATTTTTTTAAAAGTATTGTTTTAGATCTGCCTTCTTCAGCTTCTAAAATATCAAGAATTTAGTAGCAAAATTGCTAGGTTACAGTTTATCTCATTTTAAAAATTGTATTAAAATTGCCAATAAATAGTAAAAGAAAAAAAGAGTAGACTCTAAAAATCAGATACTTTCTATATAGCTTGGGACAGGGTGAAAGGAGCAAATGGGGTAGGGGAATGGGGGACATCTATAAAATAAGAATTACCAAGTGCTTGCTTCAGTATAAGAATTATACTGAAATTGGAACAATACAGAGATCAGTATGGCACACAAATTGTGAAGTGTTTTATTTTTTTGTAAACTGTAAAGAAAAATCCAACAAATTTCAATAATTAAAAAGAGTTACATGAATTTGGCTAAGAGCTTAGTAAATCGGATTTTACTTTTATTATTCTACCTATAGAGAGTATATTATTTTTAAACATTAACTTATTGTTGTCTTCTCTTTCTCTCTCTTTTTTTTTAGTACACTGTGTGGAATTTTGTTCCAAAGAATTTATTTGAACAATTCAGAAGAGTGGCAAATTTTTATTTTCTTATTATATTTTTGGTTCAGGTAAGCTTTATCACTCAATAGTTAAATTTATAAATAAAATTTTTTAAAAAATATGTTGTTAGAGAAAAGTTACATAGCATTCTAAATTGTTTGATTTTGGAGTCATATTTTTTTTCTGCAAGGCTTCCCCATTATATTTAATGAATACAATTATTTAACCACATCAAAATTTCTAAAAACTAGCCAGTGAATTTTAAAATATATATATATATTTTATTGATTTTGTACAGAGAGGAAGGGAGAGAGATAGTTAGAAACATCGATGAGAGATAGACATCAATCAGCTGCCTCTTGCACACCCCCTACTGGGGATATGCCCGCAACCAAGGTACATGCCCTTGACCAGAATCGAACCCGGGACCTTTCAGTCCCCAAGCTGACGCTCTATCCATTGAGCCAAACCGGTCTTGGCTAGCCAGTGAATTTTAAGATTAATTTTATTTTGTTTCACTATTGATATGCTGTGGTGCTGAGAACCATAATCAAAGCCAAGAAAATAACATCCTCTTTTAAATGCTTGTTCAGAACATAAATATTTTGCGTTTTAATATGCAGCACATGTTTTTGGCACATTTTTGCGTATAGTACAAAGTGAATTTTTCTTTTTTTAATGTCATTTTTACTTTTATTTAAAACAATTTTTTTTTCCACTTTTAAAAATCCCCATGAAAATAGATTTTTGTTTAGGAAACCATTTTCTTAACTTGAACCTGTATAAAATATAGGATATTTAATAGTTTAATTTCATATTGCTTTTTTTTCATAATATCAAAATACCAAGAAATAGCTTATGAAACTTGTGTATAAGTAAATATTTAAAAATAGTTATTACTATTTAAAAAAAAATTTCTGTTAATACTTTAGTAGACTTTTTCAATGTGGTATTGAATTTTTGTATGAACTCTGAACTTTTCTCTCAGTAGAACCTAGGATTTCAAAAGAAAAAAAACACTTGCCAACTTATTACTTTAAAGCTTGAGGAACCATATACTATTTTTTAAAAATTGTTTTCCTTCATGAGCAGAGAAGAAACTTCTGATTTTTTTTTTTTATCAATAGAACATCAGCTTGGCTTTCTCAGAAAAGTGAGAAAACTGTGTCCACATAACATGCATTTGTAAAATTACCAGCTAAGTTTAGGAATTTAGCTTGTCTGTGTAATAGAACATATTTAATTATCCTCCATGGTGTAAAGGAACATTAATAGTAAGTCATTTAGAGCCATATTCTAACTAGCCGAGCATAATTATACAAAAATTTCTTTACTTCTCCAGCAGTTTTTAAAACCTCAGTTGTATGATAATAATTGCAGCAAGCTATCTCTACCCTTCTGGCTCTGCTAGATTTAACAAAATCACTTATGGAAGAAAAACGTTTTTCCTAGTTGCATTCCTAGCTCTGTCTCCCTAAGTAGAGTGTTTATTCTGAATTCCAGAGTAAAAATTACTGACAGACTTTTCAGCATTTATCAGGATGGGCAAAGAAGTGTGAAATAAGATTCAGAGGAGCTGTAGCTTCACTCCTAGGCAAATATGGAGGAAGAATTGAAGTACTCCCTGTAAAGAAGGCAGATTAATGACTGAGTCTACTCTAACAATGTTAGTGAGTATCCAGTAAGTTTGGATATTCTAACCCCATATACGAGCCAGTAAAGTGAACTCATAAAACTGAACTAAATTATTCTCATTGTATAATATGTCCCTCTTATTTTTACTCTGGTCTATGATACTCATTTTGTATAATCTTCTCAGAATTACTATATGTTTGAGATTTAAGATGTTAATAGCATGATGTGTACAATCATGCTATAAAAATATAATATTCTGCATTCTTTTATTTTAATCCAGCTTATGATTGATACACCTACCAGTCCAATTACCAGTGGACTTCCATTATTCTTTGTGATAACAGTAACGGCCATAAAGCAGGTATGAATTACTTCCTATTCTTGTTTCCCCATGTCATTTGCAAGTTGCTAAGTATGTCCACTCCAAGGTAACATTTATTGTTGGGAAAATAATTTCCATAAAAAAGCAGCAAATGCTTTTGATGTTGCATATGGTAAAATTAAACTGAGTGAAGCCACTCTATTATATTTCAGGTGGTTCATGATATGTTTACTACTGTTAAAATGTTTTCTTGGCACACCCAGAAAGAACTCAAAACAAGCATTTTATATGTAAAAACCAAATTATATCCTATATAATCAAAGGTTAATAGCGGAACGATCTATCGCTATGATGTGCACTGACCATTAAAAGGCAGATGCTCGATGCAGGAGGTTCCCCCTGGTGGTCAGTTCACTCACACGGGGAGTGCCGCTCAGCCAGAAGCCTTGAGCCAGGCTCACAGAGGAGAGCTCAGCAGTGTCTCCTGCCTTGCAGCAGCGTTAAGGATATCCGACTGACAGCTTAGGCCTGTTCCCCGAGGGCTCTCGGACTGCAAGAGGGCACAGACCGGGCTAAGGGCCCCCCCCCGCCCCCCCAGGACCTCAAGTTTTAAATAAAAATTGGGTAGTGCTTTCCTATTTTTTACATTTTCTCTGGTTAAGTTGATTTTTATGTAAAGTTGTACCCTAGTGGGAAATAGCTGGAACCAAATCCTGAAATGTTATTAAATTCTAGATATAGAAGAGTATTATTGCATGAACATGTCAAGTTAAAAAGAAAGGAATTTGTAGAAAGGTCATGTCTTTATAACCACCATTAAATATCTCGGCAGGGCCTCAGTTATACAGAGATTGTTCCTTCCACTTGAAAGAGAGTTAGTTGATATATTTTCATTTTATAAGGTTTAGGGATAAGGTTTAAATTGCTTGGAAGTAAAATTGACAAACATTTTGTAATTCTGGAGTATAGTATATTTTAACAATTATATATCTAGTATGTCAGAATATCATGCTATTGCTCTCACTGTTTGATTTTCCTTTCTTCATTGTTCTTTTGGAAACTGTTAGTCAGCATCCAAATCACTTCATATGGTCACATATTTACTTAGTTTTTCAGATGTCATTTATTTCATCAGAGTTACGCATATTTGTCCCTTGGACCTATTTTCTATATGTAGTTCCCTCTTGGGTAATTTCATCCATTGTAGTAGTTTAAAGCACCATTTATATGGTACCTTAAATTGTGCACGGGTTTGGTCCCTAGGCTTAGCCTGCAATTAGGACCATCTTCCCCAGCTGTCTGCAGCCTATCCCACTCCCCACCACCACCCACCCCTGATTCCCCATGTTCGCCATCGAGTGCGGTGCCTGATAGCTGGGGGAAGGGACCGAGAGGTCAGCTGTTCCCGCCTGCTCACCGGTCCCATCCCCACTGCAGGTGTCATCAGGTAGTCAGAGTCTGTCCGCCAGGGAAAGGAACCAAGAGGTAATCAGTGCATCTCATAGTGACTGGTTGTTCTGCCATTAAGGTCAATTTGCATATTACCACTTTATTATATAGGATGGTTCCCAAATATATAAGTATCCTGAAACTATTGCCTGAACTCTGACACTCATCTACAATTGTGCAACTTTTCCACTTGGATAGCTTAGGCTTTTCCTGACCAACATGTCATTCTCTCATTTTCTGCTCTGGTCTTTTTTCTTCCTATCATTTGGTGCTACCTGTTTCTCTTGAGTAAATGTTTATTAGTTTGTCTGTTGTCTCCATTTGAATGCTCAGATCTGTGAGGGCAGATACTTTGTTTTGTAAACCATTTTATTTCTAGTGACCAGAAATATCATATAATAAAAGACACTTATATTCCTAAAACTCCTCCCCTTCCAGTCTCCTGGTTCTTCTCCCCTGAGAGAGCCATTATTTGTACATTAGTCCAGATATTAATATAGATTGTTTTCAGAGGCAAGCATTTCCCGCCCCCCCACAAATGATCTCAACACATTCTGTACTTTACTTTTATCACTTAATGCTATCAGATATCATTTTGTTATCTTGTGTTATACCTCTGAATTCTTGAATATATATCTTCTAATTATACTGAAAAGGGCACTTTTATTCTTTTGATACTTATAGGGGTATGAAGATTGGTTACGACATAACTCAGATAATGAAGTAAATGGAGCTCCTGTTTATGTTGTTCGAAGTGGTGGCCTTGTAAAAACAAGATCAAAAAACATCCGGGTATGCGTTTAGTAAATAATGTATGTCAATTATATTTTGATATCATAAACTTTAATCTGATTATATTTAACCGAAAGCCTGCTTTTCTACATTAAAATACTTTGATAGACTACTTGTTTAGAACTCAAATAAGTCCTTGCCTTTTAAAATTGGTATATTCACTCTCCCCAAAATTTTTCATAGGTGGGTGATATTGTTCGAGTAGCCAAAGATGAAATTTTCCCTGCAGATTTGGTGCTTCTGTCCTCAGATCGACCTGATGGTTCTTGTCACGTTACAACTGCTAGTTTGGATGGAGAAACGAACCTAAAGGTTTGTATGTGTATAAAATGTCTTTGGATTATAGCGATATTTTCCTTTGGTTCAGGTAATAAAGTTTGACCTGATAAAGGAGAAATATTTTTAAATTACTGAAAATTCTAAGAATTACTAAGTTTTTTTTTAAAGAAATAATGTTATATATTTATTTCAAGGGGAGCCTCACATGTCATAGTGACCAGATGTTCCCGGTCATTCTGCCATTAGGGTCAATTTACATATTACCATTTTATTATATAGGACTAGAGGCCTGGTGCACAAAATTTGTGCATGGGGGTATGTGTCCCTCAGCCCAGCCTGTACCCTCCAATCTGGGATCCCTCTCACAATCCAGGACTGCTGGCCCCTAACCACTCACCTGCCTACCTTCCTGATTGCCCCTAACTGCTTCTGCCTACCAGCCTGATCACTCTCTAACCACTCCTGTGTCAGCCTGATTGGTGTCTAACTGCTTCCTCTGCTGGCCTGGTCACCCCTAACTCCCCTCCCCTACAGGGTTGATCATCCTCAACTGCCCTCCCTTACAGGCCTGGTCCCTCTCAACTGCCTTCCCCTGCAGGTCTGGTCCCTCCCAACTACCCTCCCCTGCTGGCCATCTTGTGTCCACATGGGCACAGGATCTTTGATCTCATGGGGGCAGCCATCTTCTGTGTTGGAGTAATGGTCAATCTTCATATTACTCTTTGATTAGATAGGATAGAGGCCTGGTGCATGGGTAGAGGCCAGTTGGTTTGCCCTGAAAGGTATCTCAGATCAGGGTGGGGTTTCCCATGGGGCCTGGAACAGCCTGGATGAGGGGCCTGTGGTGGTTTTCAGGCCAGCCACTTACCCTGGCAACCCAAGCGGAGGCCCTGGTATCTGGAATTTATTTATCTTCTAAATTGAAACTTTGTAGTCTGGAGCAGAGCCAAGCCTCCTGCTCGCTCAGTAGTGGCAGCCATTTCTGTTGAAATTTATGTATCTTCTATAATTGAGACTTTGTAGCCTTAAACAGAGGCTTGGGACAGCCAGGGTGTGCAGAAAGCTTCGCTTCCTCCATTGCCAGGGAATCCCAAGCCTCCCTCCTGCTCTCCGTGGCTACAGCCATCTTGATTAGGGTTAAATTTTCATAGTTGCTCTGATTGGCTGATGGGCGTGGCTGGTGGGCATAGTGGAGGTATTGTCAATTTGCATATTCTTTTATTATTATAGATAGGATAATATTGTATGTCTATTGTAATTGAAAAACAAATTATTTTTTAAAAGAGAAATAGTTGATTGTAGGGTCCCATTTAGATCTTGAAACTACAGTTTAATCCTTGTGTGTGTGTTTTTAGACTCATGTGACAGTTCCAGAAACAGCAGTATTACGAACAGTTGCTAAGTTGGACACTCTTGTAGCTGTGATAGAATGTCAGCAACCAGAAGCAGACTTGTACAGGTATGGTGTGATAGTCAACCTACTCATAAGTCCTGTTCACAGACCTCATTGTTACCATCATAAACATACAATGAAATCTTTAGCTAATCAAAGACATTATTGAAGAGGAGGTAATGGAGAGAAACATTAAAGGCAAAAAAGGCTAAAGCAGAATTTGCCAGAATTCTAATCCAAAGTATTAATTAAAAAAACACGCTCTTTTATTCAGACGTTTCTTTCCATTACTTTCTATTTCTATATGAACTGGCTTTATCACCATTATAGGAAATTTTATGTCTATAATGGTAGTTATAAGGGAAGTACAATTATTATTATTTTTTGATCCTCACTGATGAATATTTTTTCATTGATTTTTTAGAGAGAGGGAAAGACAGAGAAATATCGATGTGAGAGAAACACATTGATTGGTTGCCTCCTGCACAAGCCCCAACCAGGGCCATGGCTGGGGAGCCTGCAACTGAGGTATGTGCCCTTTACTGTAATCAAATCTGGCACCCTTTAGTCCAAAGGTCAATGCTCTATCCACTGAGCCATACTGGCTAGGGAGAAGTAAGATTATTTTGTTAGATGAAAGTAACTTTGTGTATACACGTACTCCATGAAGGCAAGAGCTCTGTTTTTGTGTTCACTTGGAATGAATTCCTTTTTTAATGTTGTGATTTACTAAATACAATGTAAGTCATCTTCCAATGATATACTAATTATTGTGGGCTGAGAAATAGGAACAACTTTTTATTATGAAAGTGATATACTAAACTCATGTTTTCTCAGTAACTGGTGATTGCATATAAATTACAACCACATTGTAAAATTGACCCTCAGCTTCTTGTCATATAATGTCTCCCTCTATTGGTTCAAATGTTCATATCTTATTAATCATTTGCTTTTCTAGAATAATCTCTTACTTAATTTGTTTTGGATCCATATATTATTTATAATAGAGTTTTCTATGTGATGTTATATAATTTTGTCTTTTTATTATAGTCAAATGAAGTACAGAACTTTCTGATTAGCTAAAAATTTGCTGTCCTATGCTTTAAGAGTTTAAACTATGAAATTTAACTGTGAAGAATTTAGTACTTTAAGATTTCTTTATTGCTATTATTTCCTTATCTCAAAAAATGGTGTTATAAAAACGTTATATGAAATGGAGCATTAAGCAGGCATAAAATTAATATGAGATCAAGTATCACTAATGTGATGATGAGTAGTTTTTATATTATATATCTTGGAAAATGTGGAAAAAATTAAAACATTTTTTAATAGGAAATAATTACCTGTTAAATATAAGGTGTTCCTCTTTATTTTATCTTTCCCTTTTCCATAGTGAAAGTATATATTTTGTTTTAAATATATATGTAACTATTACAGAACACTTTTGTAATAGAAAGATAACTCACATTTATTGCTATTTGTATTTATTCATTCAGCAACTTATTGTTGAGCACCTGTCTGTTAATTATGGTGAGTGGGAAATAAGATGAATCAGCATGGTTTCTATTCTTGAGGAACTCATAGCTGTAAAGACATTATATATATTATATTTATATATATAAAAGTGTATTTTTTCACTTTTCTATATGCTACGTATAAGGGGAATATTGAAAGCGTTTTAAGTGTCCGAGTAGGAGAATGCTTAGATGGGTTCATGGTATAGTTATATAAGAGGGAAATATGTAGATTATAAAAATATTTTCAAAGAACTTAATGACATAAGAACATACTGAAATATAATGTTAAATAAGATATAGAGTTGTAGCTCTCATAATCCCAATTACATATTTCTGTGTATTTGATAGATAGTTAAATGGCAAGATAGAAGAATAGATAAGTACAGAGAGAAAATTCTAGAGGAATTACATGTCAAAATGTTAGTAGATATTTCTTTTTTTTTTTTTTAAATATATTTTATTGATTTTATACAGAGAGGAAGGGAGAGAGATAGAGAGTTAGAAACATCGATGAGAGAGAGTCATCGATCAGCTGCCTCTTGCACACCCCCTACTGGGGATATGCCCGCAACCAGGGTTAGTAGATATTTCTTAGTGATAAGATTTCAGCTGCTTTTTATTTATTTATTTTTGTTCTCCATAGTTCCTAATATTTCTTAAAAGAATGTGGAATGCTTTTGTAATTTAAAAAGTATTTTCCATTTTACTGCACAGTATTTTTTTAAATTAAATCTTTATTATTGAAAGTATTACATATGTTCCCTTTCCCCCCTATTGACTTGTCTGTACAGTATTCTTTTTTATTTTTTTATTTTTATTGATTTTGTACAGAGAGGAAGGGAGAGAGATAGAGAGTAAGAAACATTGCACACCCCCTACTGAGGATGTGCCCTCAACCAAGGTACATGCCCTTGACCGGAATCGAACCCGGGACCTTTCAGTCCCCAAGCTGACGCTCTATCCATTGAGCCAAACTGGTTTTGGCTGTACAGTATTCTTAATGATCATTTCTAATGGCTATATAATAGTCTAAGTGCATATACTATTACCTAACCATTACCTAATTTTTCAATACTTAACTCTCCTTCTGTTTTGCTATTACAAACATTGCATGGCGTCTTGTTACAAATAAGTTCATCAATTCAAAATCCAGAAGCTAGATAGTTCATTGCTTCTCTTTTTTGATATAATTAGTTCACTTGGCTCCCAGGATATTCTCCTCTCTTGGTTTTTTTGCTACTTCAATAGTCTCTCCTTTCATTCTCATTGCTGAGTTCTCTTCTCCCTTGACTTCTTGATGTTAGAGTGCCCCAGGACTGTCTTTGGTTCTCTTCCCTTCCCTACCTATACTTTTTACTATCTACACTCACTCCTTTGGTGATTGCATCCAACGTGATGGCTTTAAAGATCATTTACATGCTAACTCTCAGATTTATGTCTCCATTCAAGATGTCTTTTCCAAAATTCCAGACTGTTATATCTAAGTTCATGTTCTACAGTTCTACTTAGAAATTTAGTAGAAATCTCAAATTAATCATGATGAGAACTGAGCTAATTTTTCCCTCCAAAACTTTTTATGCCACTGTCTTTCCTTACCTTAGTTGATGACAGTCTCTCCTTCCAATTCTTTAGGCCAAAACCTCTTGGAGTCACATTCCCTCTCTGCTAACCTCTCCTCACCTCCTCTCCCACATCTCATCCCAGTCCATCAGATCATCTTATCTGTTCACCTGCAAAATATATCCAAAATTTGACCATCTTTTACTCATTTCACTGCTACTAATTTATTATGAGTCAGCATAATCTCCTACCTGGCTTACTACTATTCTTACCAGTTTTCCCCTTTCTTTCCCTTGCAGTCTGTTCTCTCTCACAAAAGCAGCCGTAGTGGTCCTTAATTTTTTAGACTCTCTTATTGGAATTTAGCTCAAGAAAATCAAAAGAATGGTCTGTATCATCTCTGAAAGATGCTCAGGGAGACAACAGCTGAGTTGGTTCTTTACATCTAAATCCAAAGTTGAGGTTGGAAACAAGAGTACATAAAATTCACTAAGTGGAGATTAAAAAAGAAAAACAGCAGTGCATTTCTCTGATACAGACAGTTGAAGGAAGCAGAAGTAAGAGATTAGCAAAAAACAATGAAGCCAAGGGATAAAGCATCTGTGACCTGGAAACAGGAGGAATAATAGGGGACATTGGGAAGGGAATGCTTAATATTGCTTTGCCTAGTTAAATGATTAACATAAGCTGCTCTGTCTAGAATTTGCTTCAACTCAAAATTTACTTCTCAATGTAGTAGAAAATAATTGTTCATTTGAATCGACTCTGTGATATGGAGCTGTTTAAGTAGTAGAATTTGGATCTGAAAGGACAGGTTATGAAAATTTATTGATAGGAAGCCACTTATTCTAGAAGCTCTGGAGTTCACTGATAGGTTTTTGTTTACTACTCTATTCCCACCACTTAATTCACACATAGTAGTTGCTCAATGAATATTTGTTGGATGAATGAATGCATGAATAAGTAAATGAATGATTTTAATCACAGGAAGCTTATTTAATAAACCGATGAAATATGTGAGTATTCATTGTTGGCTAAATAATGTATACTTGTGTAGCAAATATAAATTCTCATGATGATAAAATTAATAATGGTAATAACATATAACATTTGTATCACCATTTTGAAAACATTTTTACATTCATTACCTCATTTATAGCTGGAGTGGGATGGCAAGAATTGTTAGAGCTTATTGACTGATAAATATTTATTTTTATAATTTCTAACATGATTATTGGAACATTCATAGAAATAAAAGGTTGATTTGTATAAGAATAGTGCCAAAAGCCTCTAAAATTTTCCATCTATGATGTCATAAGTAACATATCTTCAGAGTTGAGCATTTCTGAAAATGCAATTTTTTGGTAACTTGGTGAATTCTTTGATAGATTCATGGGACGAATGATAATAACTCAACAAATGGAAGAAATTGTAAGGTAAGAACAAAATCACATATGGGGGAGGGACTAAAATCAAGTTAAAGAAATATTAGATAAGTAAGCTTTAAATAATGTAAAAGGATTGACGTGAAAGCACTTAGCACTTCATCTTTTAGTTATTTAGAGCAGCAATAAGTGAGGGCCAAGCAAATTTTATAAAATAACATCAAAATAATTTAGTAAGATTATTTATATAATTGTATTTTTTTCTAATAATATCAGGTAGTAACATAAAAGGAAACATAAACATTCTTATTCAAATCCTTACCCACCACTTAAAGTCTAGAATACAAGAAATGTTTTCTATAATGTTTAAAAAGTATAAGTGATACAGTCTTCTTCATTTCAAAATAATTTAACACAAACTAGAGTACTTAGTGGTCAATCTAGAACCTCTTATTTACTCTTCTGATTGGTTTTTTGTTTGGTTGATTATTTTGTTTTCCCTCTCAGTGTTTCCCAAACTTTTGACATATGTGTACCCCTTCTATAATTTTCGTAACGCTGAGTACCCCTCGTACTCACGAGAATGTAGAATTAGGCACAGCTAAGCACGGTGCAGTGCATATCCCCACCAAACTCCGGTGCAACGCGTACCCCCACCAAACTCTTCCCGTACCCCTGGGGGTACGCGCACCACACTTTGGGAAACACTGTGGCTATATTAAGGTTAATTTCTAGCTGCTGCATGAAAGGATGTGGGCTCATTTCAAAGATTTGCTAATAGGATGAGATTACATTGTTAATCATGACCACAAAGCCAAATTTAAAATAAATCTTGGAATTATCCCTTGAACTTTTAAATCAAATTAATCTTTCACCTTTTTTTCTGGAGACATTCAGTTGAACTGGCTGCTTGAAATATAATAAGTCACTGACAGTTGAGCATTTCTGAAAATGAAATTCTGGGGTCAAGCCACCAAAACTATCATGCATCAGCACTAATTCACATTTTTAATAAACATTAACGCAGGAGTGTGTTCAATGAACTCTTTAGCCATGGTCTTTGCTGAAGCAACCAGATTTTGCTGATGAACTACCTTTTAATTCAAAGCTTTCTATCATTATATCCCAATTGTATATGCCAGTGTAAGTGCAACATTTTTCCATTCTTTGTTATAAATAATACCATGTGAAAAGGAGCTATTTTATGGCTTCTGGTTAATAGATTTTGGAATATCCATATAGTGTGCTCCAAATATGATTCAATAGTAAAACCATACTTGTTAGCCATGTCCCAAACGCCTGGTCCTCTTGGTTCATTGATTTTTTTTTTTAGTGTTTGGGTTTGTAGACATCTTGGTTCTGATTCTGTTTGATTTGGATGACTGTATATGTTTGTTTTAGAAAAGCATAAGGAATCTCAATAAAATTAAGACTTAACTTATCCATAACAGTCTTATCATTTTGCTAGCACTAAAAAAGTACAATTTCCTTTCTAGTTATTCCTTCTCATTTTATATCTCCTTTATGGAGAGAAATTCAAACAGCAAGAAGACCTGAGCTCCAAGAAGTTTGCAATGCAAGTAGTAAAGTTGTAGTGTCAATCTTGCCTACAAAAGTACTAACTCACTTACTACATGATGTTTTATAATCCAAAGTAATTTTAATTGTGCAGAACTCATACATTTACACACAGACCATGCTACAATTCTTATTTACGTTGCATTTTAATTCTCTATTTTCTTTGAAAACTGTTTATTAATTTTACTCAAAATTTTCGTCCTCTATTAAACATTTAAAAAATCATTGCTTAATCTTTTATTTGTGTTTTATGTCTAAAATTTTAGCAACTGGTCTGGTGGCTTTATGAGTTTATGTACCAGCGTAATCTTATTTCTGAGACACCGATCATAAAGTAACTGAAATGCTAACGCAGGTGTTTTTGTTATAGTAACTAACATTATGATATACCTAAATAGTAGCTAAGATTTTGGTTCTATATAAAAACAGTGTTGTAACTATAACTCAAGTACTTTCTGCTAAAGATGCCATTTTAGAATTTAATTAAATGTTTGATATATTTAATGCTTTTGGTTTGTGTTGTTTTTGTGTGTGTGTGTGTGTGTTTTTCTCTAGACCTCTGGGGCCAGAGAGTCTCTTACTTCGTGGAGCCAGATTAAAAAATACAAAAGAAATTTTTGGTTTGTATACGTTGAAATTTTTTAATTATAGGTTCATGTTCATACTTTATGAAGTTTTTTTAAAAGCACAGTATTTGTGTTGGGTAACTTATTACTTAGTTACATGTTGCCTGTGATAATTTTCTTACAAAAATTGTGTTACTATAATTTTGGTTGTAGTGTTTGTTATTCATCTCTATTTTTGAGTAATAGACTAGAATCTTACTCTTGTATTTTCTTTGTTAATACTCGTAAAACTGAGTGCTAAGAAGATAATTTTGGCAATTCTTTCTATTCATGGTGAATAAGAACCAGTATAATCTGACATTATGGTATAGTAAACCACCTGTGTAATTCTATTAGGATTATTCTTAGATTGGATGAATAAAACTGCTGACTTATTCTTTAATTCAACAAATTCTTATTAATATGACTATATACCAGGTACTGTTAAAATGTATACTGACTGGATCAAAATGATGAATAATGTTCTTGCATTGGAGATTTACTAATTAATCAATTAATTAATTAACTTATGCTCTGAGTCAATTTTAGGCAAATTGTGAAATCAGTGATAATCTTTAGCTGTCAATTAGTTCTCCCCTCTTCATAAATGGCCCTTCATATACTAGCCAGCTTATGTTATTTACTGAATGTTTGCAGCGTTAGGGGTCTGTCCTCTTCCTCATTTTTTTCTTTCATCTGTCTTATCTCTCAGTATTAGGCTCTCTGATAAAGAAGTCCATATACTTTTTTTTTTTAATGGAAACTAACAAGTGTTGGTAAGGATGTGGAGAAATTGGAACCTTCATACATTGCTGGTAGGAGTATAAATATTGCAGCTGCTGTGGAAAACAGTATGGCAGTTTCTTAGTAAATTAAATTCAGGATTACCATATGACCCAACAGTTCTACTCCTAGATATGTACCCCAAAGAATTCAAAATACATCTTCAAACAAAGACTTCTGCAAGAATGTGCATAATAGCATTATTTACAATCATCAGTAGAAACTGCCCAAATGTTCATCAACTTATGAATATATAAACAAAATGTAGGATATTCACATAAGGGGAAATTATTTACTATTAAACAAATGAAAATATTTGCTGAGTGAAAGAACCCGGACAAAATGTCACATATTATAGGGTCCCATTTACTTGAAGTACCTGGAATAGGCAAATTCATAGAGTCGGAAAGTAAATTAATGGACTGGGTAGTGAAGGGGAATGGGAATGATGCTTAATAGGTACAGGGTTTCCTTTGGGGGTGATGAAAATGTTCTCAAGTTAGATAGTGGTGATGGTTGCACAACATTGTGAATATACTAAATACCACTGAATTGTACATTTTTAAATTACTAAAATGGTAATTGTATGTTTACCACAATTTAAGGAAACTATAATAAATGTTCTTATGGCAAAAGCCAAAGAAAAACCTCCAAAGCTTTAGACCCTCTCTTGTAATGCTGTATTTTAAAACATCTCTCTAGCATTAAAACCTTTCACACTCTTAAAAGATGTGTATTTGAATGTCTTTAGGTGGGTCTGCTATTGTTTGCCTTAGACCCACCTCTCTCTCTATTGTATAATTCTAGCTGATTTCTATAATTTTGGTGCCATTTGAGTTATAATTTCTGCCTTTATGGAATAATTTTAATGGTGAAAATTTCAGGACAAATGTTTAAGAAGAGGACATGATGAATCCTACACTGCTTCTCAAATCTTACTATTTAGGCATGGGTGTAAACATTTATTGATTATCTGTTTCTAGGCATTTTGCTAACTTGTCATAAAAACTACACAACAATTTTATGAGGTACTAGAGGCCTAGTGCATGAATTTGTGCACAGGTGGGGTCTGGCTGACCCCACCCCTGATCAGGTTGGGGGACCAATCAGGGGTGGTTGTCCAACCGGCCATGCACCCTGGTCAAACTCTTGGTAACTCCTGGTCAAGTGGACAATTTGCATATTAGCCTTTTATTATATAGGATACTTTTTCACTCTAAAGGTGGAGAAATTGAGACTCAGAGATTAAATACTTGCCCAATGATACAGAACTAATAAGTGGCAGAGCTAGCATTCAAACAAAGGTCTAATTCCAACAAAGTATTTTAGAAAGCTGGTTTACCTAATTTCATTCACTCCCCAGTTTTAATCCCATTAATACTGTCATTCTCACTAATTTCATAGGCATTCACATAGGCACAAATTTTTTAAATGGCCCATTCCTTGTGTTTATTTACCGTGATAGATTTTTATATTATCTCTCCAGTGCTTATGAAATTATGTCTAGGAGTTCAGATTCTGGCATCCAGGTGTTTTCAAACTCTGATCATAATCTATTGTTTCATCAAAACAGAAAGAGCTTTTTCATATCTGTCTTTGTTAACAGTGTTTGCTCTATCTATAATGGCCTGCCCTGCCATTTTTGTTTTCCCAAATCCTTTTTCTCTATCAATTTCAACTGAAATAGTATCTCATTCTTATATCTCATTTATAACTCAGCAACAGAACCTTCATGCCTTCCTTATCCCAGTAGGTTGAGTAATTGGCGTTTTGTAAAATTAGTATCAGAAAGCCTTTAAAAAATTCAAAGAAAGGAAAGTCAGATTTTAACAGCTGTCAGATGATGCTTTTTCCCAGATGCTTTCATGCTGGTGAGTACATTTTTTGTGTGAAGCATGCTAGGGCATTATTTTAAAGTACTATTTTGTTTTGTTTTGCAGGTGTTGCTGTGTATACTGGAATGGAAACAAAGATGGCGTTAAATTATAAGAGCAAGTCACAGAAGCGATCTGCAGTAGAAAAGTAAAACTTTTCATTTATTTGCACATAAATATGACTATGGATGTGTATATAATTCATTGTGTATAATTTTTTTGTGTATAAAAAATATTTGACACCTCTATAATATCACATCGTATAAAAAATATTTGACACCTCTATAATATCACATCAACACAGGATGATATCCTTGAGAATAGGGTTGGCTTTTTATATTTTTGTATACATGTAGCATTTTGTACAATGTTTGGCATATAGCAGATGCCAAATTATAACTTTAAATTAAATATTATTTGGTAATAATGGAAACACTTAATCAGACTAACCCTCCTGCAGATAACAGTGGTATAATCTGGACAAAATATTTTTTAAAAATAAATGATAATTTTAAAAGCTCTGGAGAGTAGCCCAAAAAGAGACAGAAACTGGCAAAGAATGTACTCTTGAAAGACAGTATCATCAAGAGGGAAAATTTAAAAATGTAGCTTTTTTCCTGAGGGCACTCTCAAATTCATGGACTGCAAAGGGCATCTGAGAGCCCGAGTCTTTACAGGATGTAGGTGTCAAAGGATAGGGAAGAGCATCTAAAAAGGGGAAAATCTTATACAGGAGGGAGCCACAGAAGGAAATAAGCTCTAAAGCCTGCACATATATTATTTCCATATCCTTGGCTGTCTATTAGAACTCTACATGTGCAGGGGAGACCTCAGCAGGCTTGACAATGAAACAGTAACAGTATGTATCAGCAAGCTGAAAGATCTGAGCAGAGGATTTTACTGTTGCCTGTTGCAGTGGAGATAGTGTATGGTGTTTGAGCCTAGCCAAGTTAACTTCCTGTTAAAATTAAAAACCACACTTTTTGAGGAACCTAAAAGAATAGATACACTATGCAATCAAAAAATAAGCAGACGTGAAGAAAATGTAACTTGTTCTAAATAGAAAAAGTGCTCAGTTGAAACTGCCTCCATAAATGATATTGCAATTAGCAAAGACTTTAAATATATATTATAAACTAGTGGCCCAGTGCACTTGAGGAGGGGTCCCTCAGCCCGGCCTGTCCCCTCTCACAGTCTAGGAGCCCTCAGGGGCGAGAGGCGACCCTGCGATCAGGGGAAGGCAACGCCCCCATCACACCTCTGCTGCTGCCACTGCCGGCAGCACAAGCCTTGGCTGGCCCTGGTTACTTGAGCCTTGGGTGGCCCTGGGTGATTGGGCAGCCACCATTCAAGGCTTGCCTGCGCCTCTGGTGTCAGCTGGGCAGCCACCATCAGTGTTTGCCTGGGCTTTGGGCTGGCCCTGGGCAGCTGAGGGGCTGGGCACCGCCATCTTGTGGCTGTGGGCACAGCCATCTTTGGGTATATGGCAGTCAACATATTCCCTCCTTATTGGCTGTGGGCGCTGCCATCTTTGAGGGCAGGGTAATCAATTAGCATATTCCCTCCTTATTGGCTGTAGGTGCTGCCATCTTTGAGGGTAGGGCAGTCAATTAGCTTATTCCCTCCTTATTGGCTGTGGGCCCTACCATCTTTGTGATGGCATGAGGGTCAATTAGTATATTCCCTCTTTATTAGATAGGATAGTTTCAAAAGTCTAAAGCACATGTCGATGAACATAAGAGAAATCTCAGCAGAGAAATGAACTAGAAAAAAAAGAACTCAGTGGAAATTCTTTAGTTGAAAAACATAATAATTGAAATGTAAATGTTATTAGAAGGGCTCTATACCAGGTTGAAAAAAGAAGAAATTATCAGTGAACTTCAAAGAGCAACAGAAATTATTCCATCTGAACAACAGAGAAATATGAACAATTTTAGAGCCATTTGGCACAGTATTAAGCTGTCTAGCATAAGTATAATCAAGATCCCTGAAAAAGAGGAGATAAAAGGAACAGAATAAATATATTTGAGGAAATAACTGAAAATTTCTAAAATTTCACACCACACACACACACAAAAAAAAAACAAAAAAAAAAAAAAAAAAAACACACACACAAAAAAACAGAAAGGCAAAAGCTTAGGTTAGAGGAAAATTCCTAGCAATAAAAGTTTAAAAGAAGAAAAAGTTAAAATCAGTCATCTAAATTTCTACCTTAAAAAGCTAGATAAAGAGGAGTTATTAGACCCAATCTGAGAAGAGAAGAAATATTGAGGATATAAGTTGAAATCAATAGAATAGAAAACAAATAATAGATAAAATTAGCAAAGCCAAAAGTTGGTTCTTTTCTACATTGAGGGATTGGGGGGAGGGGGGAGAAGAGTTGTAGGAGAGATAAACTGGAAAATTACCAATATTAGGGATGAAAGAGAGGCTCTCACTAAAGATCTTACCTACTGTGGTCACTGTATCCACAAAGAAATATAAGCAACTTTTATGTATCTAAATTTTCCTTGATGAAATCGCAAATTCTTTGAAAACACAACTTCCAGAAATTGACACAGTATAAAACAGAAAATCTAAGCCACCTTTTATCTATTAAAGACTTATAATTTGTTGTAAAAAATATCTCCACACAAAAGTATAGTGAGTCTTTCAATATATGGTGCTGGAACATTTCGACATCTATTTTCTGGAAACTGACCCATGACCCCTTCCTCCCACCATATATAAAATTAACTCCAAATGTAAAGTTAAAATATAAGAGCTAAATTTGTAAAACATGGGAGAAAGTATTTGTGACCTTGGATTAAGGAAAGATTTCTTAGGTAGGAAATATACCAAAAAAAAAAAAAAAAAGTGAACAAAAAACAAAGCTCCAAATTGATAATTAAATTTCGTAAAAATTAAAAACTTATGCATTTGAAAAGACACTGTTAGAAAAATGAAAAAAGACAAGCCATAGAGTAAGAGAAAATATTTGCAAAGCCTATATATATATATATATATATATATATATGGCTAAGTGACCAACCCACCTGCCAGTAGGTATGACGCACATTGACCACCAGGGTACAGACGCTAAATGCAGGTGCCAGCAGGGGCGGGGTTGGTTAGTGGGCAGTGCCAGGCTAGCCAAGGCGAGTGCCAGCACCCCCCCCCCTCATCGCCCCACAAGTCGCCCCACAAGTGGGCCCTCATTACTGGCCAGGCCGAGGGACCCTAATTTTGTGCACTAGGCCTCTAGTATCTATATAATAGGAAACAGTAGGAAAATTAAATTTTTTAAAAGGTAGCATATAATATGTTTTATATTCTTTCTCATTTTAGGTCAATGAATACATTTTTGATAATTTATCTAATAATCCTTATTTCTGAAGCCATCATCAGTACTATCTTGAAATACACATGGCAAACTGAAGAAAAATGGGATGAACCTTGGTATAACCAAAAAACAGAACATCAGAGAAATAGTAGTAAGGTATTTTATTCTGTTCTTGACTCAGCTGCTGTAAAGGAAACTTCTGATAGGAGTGACCTCTCTGATCTTCCTAAAACCATTACTACTGGAGGATGACAAAAGGACATTGCACACCTGAAACCAATACAAAATATTGAAATTAAACTAATTAAAATAAAAGAATCACAGTAGATGATAAAACAAAGATAAATGACATTGCAAGAGAAGGGTAGCCAGCCTGTATGTACTGGTATAATTTAGCATTTTAGGACAATTATATTTTTATGTCATAACTTGGAATAGTTACAAGAGATCACAAAGATTTAAATCTGTATTAGCTTCCACTTGAATACTACAAATTCATTTTTTTATTTCTATATCTTATAAGTGAAATAAAGAGAAACTTGATTTATTTTCAATTCCGTCAGAATAATTCAAGAAATCTTATTGTCAGTCTGGTAATAGAATGAAGTTGATAACACAGTTTATGTCATATAAAGTTTCAAACTGATTAAATATGGACTATCAAGATAATTTAACATACAATTTGGGTAAATAATTGTTCTCCAAATTTCACTTTAGATTAAAATACAAATACTGAATACAAATTTGGGTCTCAAGAGACTACAAAGCAGATAATCTCAGGAACATATTTTCGGACCTTTCACAGAATGCATGTTAAATGTGGTGCTACTATGCCATTGAAGTGGGCTATTTCTGTGAAATCTGTAATTTAAGAGTTTTAAATCCTACCAGTTCCAGCCTACCAATTTTATAATTTTTAAAAAGTACACTCAATTTTTAGTTATCTGTAATTTTGAAGAGTAAAAGTAGAATGGTAAGCATATCCCAGAGGTTATAATTAAAATTTTGCCCAAAGCAGTTTCAGTCACACCAGGTTTTTGGTAGCTTCTGAAAAGTAACAAATTTCAATAATTTGAATCTAATCTTTTTTTGTTGTTGTTTGAGAGTCTAATGAGCAATAAAACTACCAAGGAAATGTGTTAAAAAGACAACTCAATAAATGAATTTTAATCCATGAGACTATTCTGCTTCAGAATATAGTTAGTAGTCTTTAAACATGAAACTTTGTGATAATTTTTCTGCAGTAATACTGAAGATAGTTTCATATTTTCACTTATCAAATAATCATTTTTTCCCCTCTAGATTTTGAGATTTATTTCAGACTTCCTTGCCTTTTTGGTACTCTACAATTTCATCATTCCAATTTCATTATATGTGACAGTCGAAATGCAGAAATTTCTTGGATCATTTTTTATTGGTTGGGATCTTGATCTCTATCATGAAGAATCAGATCAGAAAGCTCTAGTTAATACTTCTGATCTGAATGAAGAGCTTGGACAGGTAATGACTCTTTTAATTTGTTTTCCTGACTTGTTATTATAATCAAAACAATACATGTGCAAAAACTAATAAAACAGAAAACATTAGAAGGTTTTTACCAAAAACAACCCTACTTTGCTCCACACCTAATTTTGTTTTCCATTTTTTTAATTGTAAAGCTGTTATTTGTTTGGTGATGTATTTTATATCATCATATTTGTTTAATACTTCATTCTCATTCTTTCTAATCTAAAAGTTTTTATTAACTTGTATAAATAAGTGACATTTCATCTAGGCAGTGTGGTTCAGTGGTTGAGCATCAGCCTGTGAACAGGAGGTCACAGTTCGATTCCTGGTCAGGGCATGTTTGGGTTGCAGGAGGCAGCCTATTAGTGATTCTCTGTAATCATTGATGTTTCCTCTCCCTTCCTCTCTGAAATCAATAAAAAATATATATTTTTAAAATAAGTGACACCTAAAATATCCTCTTTAAATTACAATTCAACATTTGCTATAGATACTGTGCAACTTTTAATATCACATAGCAAAGGTAAAGTATCTTTTATTTCTAGTTTCACCACTTGCTAGTTATATGATGGGATTACTTACTTTTTCTGTTTATCTTTACTATTTCCAAAAAAATGAACTTTGAGAAATAGTTTCTCATGTATCATTATGTCTTGGTCAAAACAATTTTGTTCCAACTTTAATTCTACCTCCATATTGATCTTTTTATTCTGCAATTTTGCTGAACTCACTTGTTAGTTCTAGTAGTTTTTTCAGTGGATTCCATGACCTATATCCAAAGCTGTGTTATCTGCAAATGGAGATAGTTTTATCTCCTTTTTTCCTAAATAAATACTTTTTTTTGTTGTTGTTGCCAAAATTGTCCTGATTAGACCTTCAGTACAGTGTTGAATAAAAGTGGCAAGAGCAGACATCATTGTCTTATTCCTGAACTTGGAGGGAAAGCATTTAGTCTTTCTCCATTAAGTAAGATGCTATCTATGGGTATTTGTAAATACATTTTACCAGGTTGAGGAGTATGCTTATATTCCTAATTTATTGAGTGTTTTTTTGAATCATGAAAGAGTATTGGATTTTGTCAAATGCTTTTTCTACATCTATTGAGATAATTATTTTATTATTAGAATAAAGGTCAAGTACTACTTATTATTATGGTGGGTTTCACTGATTGAATTTTATATGTTGAACCAATCTTTCATTCCAAGGATAAATTTCCCATGTTCGTGGTATATAATCCTTTTTATATGTTTCTGCATTTGGTTTGTGTCTATTTTTATAAGGGATCTATAGTTTTTATCCCCTTGGATAGCTACTTCCCATTTTAAATGACTTCTTTCTCAAGTCATCATTGCAATAAGCATGTTCTCAACATAATTCTAGTTGTATTATGAATTGAGTATTTTATTCTTCTCTTTATGGACCTATCTTCATTTAGAGTTAATTTTCTAGAATTAGTCTCAAAGAGTAATAAAATTATTTGTCTTATTTACTTTTTAAAACATGTTTTTATACATTTCTTTTTACTGAGTTTGCTTCGTGCCCTCAGTTTCAATTTCCTCTATTTTAGACAACTTTCTACCTCTGACTTGTGTTGCTATCATTTTGTGTTTCTGGTTCCAGCTCTATACCATTTCTCCTGGACCAGATTCCCTTTCACATTCTAGGTTAATTAAGCATGACTTCCATCCCTGCTCGTAGATCACTCTATTTATTTTTTATTGATGAGAGAGAAAGAGAGAGAAACATTGATTTGTTGTTTTATTCATTTATGTATTCACTGATTGATTCTTGTTTGTGCTCTGACCGGGGATTGAACCCACAACCTTAACGAATCACAACAACACTTGTACCAAATGAGCTACCCAATCAACTCTCAGAGATCATCCTTGAGTCCTACTAAACATCCAGGAGATAAAAACAAGTACTAATACTACATTTATAATCAACTCCACAGATGAACATGCACATACGAATGCCACAGACTTCAAAGTGTATATTTTAAAAAGTATCTTCTGTTACCCTTTTTTGGTTCCATGGCATCTTTAATTATTTGATGGATTATCAGAATCAGCATCAATATATCAATTTTAATAGACTTGGCTTAAGGAGACAGAGGCCAACTTTTCTTGTTTAACGTAGTGATTGTGAACACAAAGGTTATGTGTTGTTTTTTTTTTGTTTGTTTCCTATCTCTAGGTGGAATATGTGTTTACAGATAAAACTGGCACACTGACAGAAAACGAGATGCAGTTTCGGGAATGTTCAATTAATGGCATAAAATACCAGGAAATCAATGGTAGACTTGTATCTGAAGGACCAACACCAGACTCTTCAGATGGAAACTTAAGTTATCTTAGTTTTTCCCATCTTAACAACTTACCCCATCTTACATCCACTTCTTTTAGAACCAGTCCTGAAAATGAAACTGAACTAGTAAGCAATTTTTAAATTAATAAATGGGAGCTTCATTTGAAATAGTTCTGTTTGTGTTAGTGGGGCAAGAAATATATTTGAAATGTATATCCTTTGGTTTAATACTGAGAATTTACAGTTACTTAATATGTGTTTGTAAATGGAACTAAGCTAAGAAAAGCCTACTGCCTTTAAGTACAAAAGACGATGCTGAGATAGAGCTTAAATTTATTTAATACTTTCTGAGACCTCACTTCTTCCACAAAAGAGGTTTCACCATTACTTGCAGTTTGGTTATGCCTCCTAAAAAGTTGACGGGTCATAAGCTAATGTGACATTTTACTCTTCGAAGTTAGAAGCAACCAGCTGTTATGTAAGCATTTCAAAATTGTAGCATTCTTACTCTAGCTCTTAGATTACCAAAATATGAACTGCATTTGCATTTTTTAGAATTCTGTTTCTGGTTTCCTAAATGTTACTTGGGATTGGGATTGACGTTGTGAATTTTAATTATGTATTTACAGATTAAAGAACACGATCTCTTCTTTAAAGTAGTCAGTCTCTGTCACACTGTACAGATTAGCAGTGTTCAGACTGATGGCATTGGGGATGGTCCCTGGCAAGCCAGCCTGGCACCCCCCCAGTTGGAGTACTATGCGTCTTCACCAGACGAAAAGGCCTTAGTGGAAGCTGCTGCAAGGTAGTTTAATCTGATTTCCAAATTGTCAGAAAAAAAACTTTTAAATAAAAAATGTGAAAATACTAGTACCCTGTTTCCCCGAAAATAAGACAGTGTCTTATATTAATTTTTTCTCCCAAAGTTGCGCCAGGTCTTATTTTCAGGGGATGTCTTATCTTTCCATGCGCTAGGTCTTATTTTCGGAGGATGTCTTATTTTCGGGGAAACACGGTATTTGAATTGTCAGACAAAATTCATAAACACATAGAGGTACTAATTTATTTGTGTGTTTTTTTAATGAGAATTTGAAATGTGTCACTAATTGTTAAGCTTGCAATAGAGTCATATTTTGATGTGATCTTTAAAAATCTGGTTAATATGAATAATATAATCCATGAGAATACATGTGTATTGTTTTGGACCTACTCTGATCCTTCAAGTTCTTAAAGATAGTGCTATATTAAAAGGAAATATTTTAAAATCCATCTTAGCCGAAACCGGTTTGGCTCAGTGGTAGAGCATCGGTCTGTGGACTAAAGGGTCCCAGGTTCGATTCCGTTCAGGGGCATGTACCTTGGTTGCAGGCACATCCCCAGCTCTAGCTCTTTATCTCTCTCCCTTCCTCTCTGTAAAAATCAATAAAATATATTTTAAAAAATAAAATAAAATAAAATCCATCTTAAACTTGTATTTTAAATATTTTTATTTAAGCTATGTTATAAGATATATTGTGAAATATGAAATACTCCCTAAATTTTATATATTTTTCTCATTTTAATTCTAGGATTGGCATTGTATTTATTGGCAATTCTGAAGAAACTATGGAAGTTAAAATACTTGGAAAACTGGAACGGTAATTATTTTCTTTATTGTAATTTTCTATATATTAAGCATTTAGTATAGAACAGATTTAGGTAAATTATGGCTCAAAGGCCAAATCTGGCCTACAACCTGTTTTTGTATAGCCCATAAACTACATTTTAAAGAGATCGTTTAAAAAAAATAAGAAGAATATCTAACATAGACCATATATGTATACAAAGCCTAAAATATTTACTCTCTGGCCCTGTACAAAAACAGTTTACTAACCCTGCTCTAAAATGATGTTATTATTACATTGTATTTCATCACAGTAATAATATACTCCTTTGAATCTTTCATCTTTATTTTAGCTTAATGGTTCTTGAATTTATTTATATTTATTTTTACACACTTCTAGGGGGATGATTTTTATAAGTTTCTTTCTAATAAAGAAAAACTTTCTTATATTTTCTATGATTTTATCTTTTAAACATTAAAGAACAGCTATCTTATTTCCACTGTATGGTAAATTAGGCCCATTCTTACTATAATCAAATCTTTCATGATTTTATCAGTTCCAGTCATTTCAACTCCGGCTGTAAATTTTTAGACTATGCTTTTCTAAACTAAGTAGAGCTTATTCTTTGCTTTCATGTGGGAGTCTGTCTAGCTCATTCCATCAACTTAGAAGCTATCATTCCAACCAGTGTTTATCTTTCTGATGGGCAAAGTATTATATATATATACATCATCTATAATAATCTATAATAATAAAAGCATAATATGCAAGTCAACTGAACGACCAGATAGCCGAATGACCTGGACGACCGTGCTATGACACGCACTGGCACCAGGCCAGCCAAGGCAGGTGCCATGCAGCTGGTCAGGGGCCTCCACCATCACCCCATGATTGCCCTGCAGAGGGAGGTTCAGGCCACCCTCTGTGGGGTGATCGATGGGGGAAAGGGGGTTCTGTGATCAATCACCCCAAAGAGGCAGACCCAGAATAGGCAGCTGGCAGTGCGATCACGGAGCCCCGATTGGATAGGCAGGGCCTCCCTCTGAGGAGCCATTGATAGAAGGGCCCCACAATTTATCGCCCCACAGAGAGGGGGGCCCAGGCCACTCAGCCGGTGACTCTGTGGCCAGTGTGCGGGGCTGGCCAGTGATCGCCCCGCAGAATGAGGCCCAGGCAAGCCAAGCGATCGCATCCCACACCTGTCGCCCACAAAGGGAGGCGACCAGTGATGGGGAAGGGGGGGGCAGTGCTGCACAGATGACAAGCAGGGTCTGGGCCACCTGCCGGTAGGTAGCCAGAGAAAGGAAAGCCCTGATAGGCCCTGCTTGCTGGCCAGGCCTAGGGTTCCTACCTGAGGGGTTCCAGATTACAAGAGGGCACAGGCCAGGCTGAGGGACATCCCATCCCCTCCATCCCCCTTCATGAATTTCATGCACCAGGCTTCTAATTGTATATATTCATCCAGAAAATTTTAGTGTACACCTAGACCATGCAAATTCTTTTACTGCTCCTTAGAGAGGCATTTGTTCCCCCACCTATATACGTGTATTCCAACCCAGGTTCAAAATCACTGCTATAATGAGCCTCTGTTATTCGTGTGTGTGTGTGTGTGTGTGTGTGTGTGTGTGTGTGTGTGTGTGTGTGTATTTCTTAGGTGTGTTAGGTGTGTTTGGGCAGAAAAGAGGAGAATCAATTACATTTTTTAGTGAGAAAGACATGGAGCTATGGGCAGATCTGGATTTCACTCACAAACTTATTTGACATTAGGCAAATTTACTTAATCTTTCTGTGTTTAATAGTCCTCATTTGTAAAATGAGATAAGACTTACCTCCCTTGGTTCTCGTAGGACTTAAAGCAGGACATGTAAAGTACTTGGCATTTTGTAAGTGCTCAATAAATGTTAATTCCTTCTATTTGTATCTTCTTTTGTTAGTAATAACTCATAACCAGTCATCTTGAAAATGTAGATGAGGTTAATTTCTTGTTCTAAATTAATCGTTTTTATCTTTAATAAGGACTCTTTCTAAATATTTGCTTGATATTATTCAAAAAAGTTGTCTTTTTCCCCCCCATTAGGTACAGACTGCTTCATATTCTGGAATTTGATTCAGATCGCAGGAGAATGAGTGTAATTGTTCAGGCACCTTCAGGTAACCAACCTGAACTTCTATGAATTTTTATTTATCTAATATAAAAAGCTTGATAACTAATTTTTCTTTTTAGGTGAGAAGTTTTTATTTGCTAAAGGAGCTGAGTCATCAATTCTCCCTGCATGTATAGGTGGAGAAATAGAAAAAACAAGAATTCATGTAGATGAATTTGCTTTGGTGAGTGCAAATTTTTATGATTTAAAAACTCTGAAAGATATGTATATCTACCTATATATTATATAAATATTTGAAAGATTTGGGGTTTCATTTTTGCATTAATTTATCAAAAATTATAGAATTATGTGTTGGCTCCATGTTCCTTAGTTAAAAGTTTACTTTTAACCTGTTAAAATATGTCTTCTCTTTGAACCTATTACAATCAGGGTACTTCCAGCAGCCAGGACCATTTAGGTTACTATATTAAAAAGTGGGGAGGATTACTAAAAAAATAAAGGAGAAATTGGGACCCTCATACACTGGTGGGACTATAAATGATATAGCCACTTTAGAAAATAGTTGGGCAGTTTTTCATAGGACATGGAGTATGAAATGATGCAGCAATTTTACTCCTCGGCATACATCCTAAAGAAATGACAACATGTCTACCAAGAACTTGTACACAACTGTTCTCAGCAGAAGTACTTATAATAGCCAAAAAATGGAAACACCCATATGTCCATCAACTGATGAATGGATTAAACAATATGTCATATACATATCCACATAATGGACTATTTGGCCACAGAGTTTATTTATATGAAAAATCCAAAATAAGCCAATTTATAGTGATTGCCACAGTCTAGAGGAAGGGAGGAAGTGTAGTATCTGCTAATAGACACGGAATTCCTTTGGGTGTGATGAAAAGGTTCTGGAATTAAATACTGAAATAATTATACAACGCTTTAACTAAAAATTAATGAATTATTTCCTCTTGAAAGGAGTGAATTTTATGGTATGTGAATTATGACTTTCAATAAAATAATGTAGGAGAATCTTACAGAAATAAAGTGTGAATTATGTAAAAATTATTAAACAGTTCTCTTAGTCTTAGAACCTCATGATATCTCATTCCTGATTTTCTATAAATGTATGCTAGTACTCATCTCTGCTCTACTGCCTCCTTTACTTATGGTTTCTTTTTTCCTATTACTGTTCCCTAATTGTTTACGATCTGGTTCATTTACCACACGGTAACAACCATGAGAACAAAGACATTGTTTTACCTTACTATCTCTCATATCAGTATTCAGAACAGTGCTGGCACATAGTTGACAATAAATGTTTGTTATAGAGAAAATTAAGTTCATTTGTTAATAAATCTCATAGTACTTTAACTGTTGTTTAAAAGAAGCATTTATAGGTTTGGGTCATTTGCAAATCAAGAAATGCCAGTATTTAGAAATCTGCTAAATAGTGTCATATAGTATTTTTAAATCTACCTTTCCAAGTTCTGTAATTAGAACATTTACTTTGGGTTTTTCTGAGGAAAAGGAACTTTTATAAGTTTGTAGACTTATATACCAACTTTCAAATACTAATACCATAAGAAAAATTTGAACCCAGCATATATATTTTAAAATTCTATGTAATTCCAGCTCACCAGTGAAGATGTAATGATACAATTTTAAATCATTCAGTGGCTCTAGAAAGTATTGGTTGTTTTATAATGGACACCTTTATAGACTTCCTTATTTGAATTGCAAGTTTATCATACCATAAAATCAGGAGTGGGGAACTTTTTTTCTGGCAAGGGCCACTTACCAAAATTATCAACTTAAAAATTAGCCTGCTATATTTGGTCAAACATTTCATTAACTCACCCCTAATGCTTTGGCAGGGCCAGACCAGATGATTTCATAGGCCTCTTAATGGCCCTGATGTTCCCCACCCCTGCCATAAACCCTCAGGAAATGATAGTCCCTTTGTTTAAAAAATTTCTTATGAAGTAGGTAAAAGTGGATTTGTAATAGTTAAAACAGAAAAGTAGAACCTGGGGCTGCCTCTCTTGATAATCATGAAGGTTCCATTATGGAACTTTCTGGCTTTCCATGTAAAACAGTTTTAAAACCACAGATAAGATAATCTATGATTCTGTCTATTCTCTAATATATAATTCAATGACCTTACTTGTTTTGAGCAACTTATTAAGAACTCCTTAGAAATTGAAAGAGTTATGATAATATGTGTTCCATAACTTAGATCACTAGGACTTTGTATCATCTCATTTATTTTCTGTCACTAGATCATAGTACTTTTTAAATTATTTGTAATTGATATTTGGTAATGGGGTCCTCAGTTTTATTTCAGTGACTTCTTGATTCCACATTAGTTATTTTTGTTTAATTTTTGTCTTTAATTTTTCTGTGTTAGAAAGGGCTAAGAACTCTGTGCATAGCATATAGACAATTGACATCTAAAGAATATGAAGTAATAGATAGACGCCTATTTGAAGCCAGGACTGCCTTGCAGCAACGGGAAGAAAAATTGGCAAATGCCTTCCAATTCATAGAGAAAGACCTAATATTACTTGGAGCGACAGCAGTAGAAGACAGGTAAGTATCAGATAAATAGGCAACATTATTTTTCTCATGCAAGAATTTTTTTAGCCAAGTGTTCCTAATTTATGACATAAGTTTTATTTATTAACATCATGTAATTAATATATTTAAAATCAAAATCTGCAGTAAAAGCCTTTTTGTCTTATCAGTGTGTATAATTTTCATTTATCTGAAATAGTTGAAAAAAAATACAGCTATGTATAATTTTGCTCATAGACTTAAAATGCAGTATGTGCCATACAAAGACTTTAAGCACCTGCTTAATTCTCCGGCCTCACCTGCCACTACTGTGTCCTTCCACTTTATACTTACACTAGAGGCCTGGTGCATGAAAATTTATGCCATGGAGGGGAGTTCCCTCAGCCCGGCCTGCCCCCTCTCAGTCTGGCAGCCCTCAGGGGCGGCAGGCGGTGATCAGGTGAAGGTGACACCCTCATCACACCTCTGCTGCTGCCACTGCTGGCAGTGTAATCCTCGGCTGGCCCTGGTTACCTGAGCCTTGGGCGGCCATGGGCGGCTAGGCAGCCACCATCCAAGGCTTGCCTGTGCCTCAGGCCAGCCCCGGTCAGCTGGAGGGACTGAGGGGACTGGGTGCCACCATCTTGGGGCTGTGGGTGCTGCCATCTTTGAGGGCATGTCAGTAAATTAGAATATTATCTTCTTATTGGCTATGGGCACTGCCATTTTGTGAGTGTGTGATGGTCAGTTAGCATATTCTGTCTTGATTAGATAGGATAGTACCAAGCTCTGTAGTTTTCCTCTGAACAACAAATATAATTAACTTTGTTCTATTTTATGGCTTTGTTCCTTGTCAAGGCTATGCCTTCTACCTGATCTTACTCCTCTTACCCATTTGTAAATACCTATTTATAGAATATAGTTCAGGTATTACCCCACTCCACTAAAACCTTTCCATACTTCTAACAGAATTTAGAAAGCTCTTTTTGTGAAGTCTCCATGTTTTGTAGATCTGTGTTGTCCTTGTGGCAATATATTACAATTATTTGTTTAATGACTTTGTTCTCTATTAGCCTGTGAATTTCTTGAAGTCCATTTATTCTTTGTCTTTGTTTCCAGCTCCACTGTCAATATGCTTTGCACAGTTCTTGAGTTAAATTGAAATCTGTGAATTAAGTTGAATTCTACAAATTAATCCTGTTATATTTTTCTCTACTTCTGAGATCTATGTGTGTTTGCATTTAAAAAAAACAACTCTAGGTTTTCATTTACTTTTTAGTTGTCCTAATGAAATTTCTGAGACTCACCTGAGGTTATATAGTCCTTTATTGTCCACAGTCTAATTTTTGAACTGCTGATATGAGAGATTTTCTTAACAAAATAAGAGAAAAATCTTATAGTGAAATTTAAAGACTTCCTAATAAAATAGTTTATGTAGGCCATATACTTAATTGCTTCTATAAAAATCAACTTTGAAAGTATATTCTTAAAATATGAGTTTGTAATAAATGAGGCATGTGACCCATCGACTGAGAGTTTGACATGCTTGTAGATTTTATGTTACATAGATGGTCACTGATTTGGTTTTCTTGTCTCTTCCCTAATGGAGAAAAAGAAAATTCAGTTTTATCACTGAACTGAATGTTACTATAACATTCTTAGGTCAAGGAATCCAGAATTTATCTTACCTATACTCCATGATTTATATTTAAAATATAAACAGAAAAATATTTTCTACTGCTAATTTTGTTTCATTTATTTTCAGACTACAAGATAAAGTTCGAGAAACTATTGAAGCATTGAGAATGGCTGGTATCAAAGTATGGGTACTTACTGGAGATAAACGTGAAACAGCTGTTAGTGTGAGTTTATCATGTGGACATTTTCACAGAACCATGAATATCCTCGAACTTATAAACCAGAAATCAGACAGCGAATGTGCTGAACAATTGAGGCAGCTTGCCAGAAGGTAAGAATATAATTATCTGAGTCAGATAATTGAGGAGTAAGCAAACTATGGCCCACTGCCAGTTTTTAATGCCTATGCGCTCAAAATAATTCTTATAATCCAAAGAAGAATATTTCATGTCATGAAAATTATATAAAATTCATATTTTGATGCCTGTAGATAAAATTTTGTTGGGATACAATCACCTTCATTCATTTACATGTCATAAGTAATGGCTTTTGCACTCTAGCCACACAGCTGAGTAGTTACATCTGAGACCTTATGAAGCATTTGTATCATTTTTCACTGCTGCTTGATACACTTCAAGTTAACAGCATCTCAATTTTAATTCAATAATGTCTTGAGTGCCACACATACTGCCATATGACATTTTACTTTCTATTTTCAATCCTCACCTGAGAATATATTATATTTCCATTGGTTTTTAGCGATAGAGAAGCACCGTTGTGAGAGAAACTTGATTGGTTGCTTCCCGTACAATTTAACCTGCAACCTAGGTATGTGCCCTGACCAGGAATCAAAACCTGCAACTTTTGGTGTACAGGACAATGCTCCAACCAACTGAGCCACCAGCCAGGGCTTACTGTATTTTAATTACCATTAATTACCTATCATCTCCAAACAAAAAAAAATGGACTTTCATTTATTTGTTAGTTTGTTTGTTTAAATTTTATTTTATTGTCTCCTTTTTTTCCCCATTGACCTTCCCCCGGCCTCACCTTTCCCCTTACATGTGCCTTCACCCTTACCCCCAGTGTCCTGTATCCATTGGTTATATGCATGCATATATGCATGCATACAAGTCCTTTGGCTGATCTCTTACTGGTGCCCATACCCCAAACAAAAAGATAGATACAGAGTCAGAGAAGCATTGGACAGACTGTCAAATTACAGTGGGAAAAAAATGGACTTAATATCACACTTTTAAAAAATATATATTTTTATTGATTTCAGAGAGGAAGAGAATAAGAGAGAGAAACATCAATGATGAGAGAATCATTGATCAGCTGCCTCCTCCATGACCCCTTCTGGGGATCGAGCCTGCAACCCGGGCATGTGCCCTGGCCTGGAATCAAACCCGGGGCTCTTCAGTCTGCAGGCCAACACGCTATTCACTGAGCCTAACTTGCTAGAGCTAATATCACACTTATAAAGCACAGTAAAGCTTAACCAGTTTGGCTCAGTGGATAAAGCACAAAGAAGTGTTGATTATTTTATCAAATTAGATGCAGCGCAATGCTATTTTGAGTGCTGGCCTTCAACAATATATTTAAGTATCTCTGAATAATAAATACAATGCTTACACCAGAATGTAAATCTGTATATTGCTTCTTCTACCAAGGAAATCTTTACAAAAGAGGACTGGGGAGAAACAGTGGAACCAAATAGTGTGATCAGTAATGTAGTTGATTTAGATACTGATGCAAGCTTATCTCTTCCTGGCAACAAATAGTTTGCCCAGTTGCCAATAATCAGACCATGAGTAGTACTCATATAGCATACTAGTGGCCCAGTGCATGAAATTAATGCATAGGAGTGGGGGTTCCTTTAGCCCAGTTTGCACCCTCTTCAATTGGAGACCCCTTGGGGGATGTCCAACCAGCAGTGAGGCATCCCTCTCGCAATCTGGGACTGCTGGCTCTTAACCGTTCACCTACCTGCCTGCCTCATTGCCCCTAACCCTTCTGTCTGCCTGATCGTCCCTAACCTCTCTGCCTGCCTGCCTGCCTGATCACCCCAACTGCCCTCCCCTGCTGGCTTGATCTTGCCCCCCAACTGCCTTCCCTTGCTTGCCTGGTTGCCCCCAACTGCCCTCTCCTGCTGGCCTGATCTCACCCCTAAAGGCCCTCCCCTGCAGGCCTGATCTCACCCCAGTAGCCCTCCCCTGCAACCTGATTTTGTCCCCAGTGGCCCTTCCTTTCTGGCCTGATCTTGCCCCCATCTGCTCTCCCTTGCAAGCCTGATCTCATCCCAACTGCCCTCTCCTGCTGGCCTGGTTTCCCCCAACTGCCCTCCCCTGCTGGTCTGATTGCCCCTAACGGCCTCTGCACACACCACTATGGCTTTGTCCGGAAGGAAGTCAGACATTTGGAAGGATGGCTTGTCGACCTGATCTAATTAGCATATTACCCTTTTAGTATTATAGATTTTACAGGATATGATTGCTTAAATGGGGGCGTTTAGGGAGAAGCCTTTTTCATTAGGAGGAGATGCTCTTGGCACATAAAAATACATAATCCCTATATCTGGACTGATAGCCAGCCATATGCATTATACTGGCAAACGGGTCATTAAAAATTTGAACCACTTTCTTACACCTTACACCAAACAGCTGTTGCCCTTAAAACCCCTTCTCAGCCCCCACCTTAGGTTCTGCCATCACAGTTCACCCAGATTTGGTTCTGATTGATCAGTTTCTTTGCCAGTGAGTGTCAAAAGATCTGCCTTCTAGGTAGCCAATGGCTCCTTGCAGTTCAATCATATTTGGTTCTCATTGGTTGGTTTCAATGCCAGTCAGCGTCTCCAGGCCTATCAATGGGCCTGATCAGAGAGATGGGGCTGACCAGCAGCCCCATTGGAGAGAAAAAGAGGCACAGCTCCTGGCCAGGCCCAGAGCAAAAGAGAGAGGCAAGTGCTGATCAACACCTGCCACAGAGGCTACGGATCAGACCCTGCTTCTTTCTCCAGGTTTCTCGTCAGGCCTGATCTGCAGCCTCCTTGGCAGTCAGTGCTGGGTTGGGGTTCTATCAGCAGCAACCAGCACTGACTTCAGTCAGTTGAGCCTTTGGTTGTTTTGGATATTACGGACCCTGGAATTTTATATATTAGGATATTAGGATGCCCACAAGGGAAGTGTTATCCATGTTTCACCATAGTAATATCTCATGTTACAGTCCATTGGAGGAGTTAATATCCAGAATAGTTAGGATTCCTTCATTCCTTTATGATTTTTTTCTGAATGTTTTATTCAATTTTTAAAAATTAGGATTTACTAAATATAACAAAGTTTTTATTTTAGTAAGACTTTATGCTCACAATTTGGGAGAATATACTGAGATGATATGTTACAGTTCACATTTAGAAAATACAGTTACTGTGTCTACATATCAGTATATTGTAAAATTGAATATCATCTTTTTAATTCATGATATTGGTCACTCTCAGTTCTACTTAATCTTAACTTCAAGATAATATATTAGTTGTCCTCATTAAATTTGGTTTGTTCCCTGATATGTCAGTTTTGTTATAATAAAGTCTGTAGATGAATGGTCCATTTTTCAGTAAATCTTTTGTTTACTAAGCTAGTGTAAATAATATGACTTCAAAGTATCTTACAGAGGACATAATTATTTTCTGTTTTAGAATTACAGACGATCATGTGATTCAGCATGGGCTGGTGGTGGATGGGACCAGTCTATCTCTTGCACTCAGGGAGCATGAAAAACTATTTATGGATGTTTGCAGAAATTGCTCAGCAGTATTATGCTGTCGTATGGCACCACTGCAGAAAGCTAAGGTATGTTTATGTTATAAAAAGTTAAATTAAAGATACATAGATCTAAAAGTATTTTTTAAGATTAATGACTGAATTAGGTCTATTTGGAGGTATGCAGTATATGACTCTTAACTACGGGTCAGTCATTTCTCCTATTATGAATTTTAACCATGTATGTTATTAGACCTTTGGAATTTTCAGAGTCAATGTAGAAATTTCAGTTATGCATAATAAATAACCTAGAAAGTCTGTGATGGTTAGCAATTGTGATTTTTCCTGAGACACAAATTTGAGCTCTGACAACTAAAGTTTCACAATTTAGTTACTTACCTACTGAGGGAGCCTGTAAGACTTCAGTTCACATGCACTTTCAAAGGGTTCTGTTGATCTTTGCTTATTCTTGCATTCTCGTGAAATTTAAATTCTCTTTATTAAAAATGGCTATTAAGTAATAGAACTTTAGTAAGAAGTTGGAAAGCCAATTGTGATATTAAACTATATACAAAAAGATTTAAATTTCAGCTATGATTCTAAGTGAAAGCCTATACAAATATTTTTTTATAACTCCAAATTTGTAATTTGAGGTCTTAGACTGTATCCTTGACAAATAGTATCCTTTGAAATGTACATCTAAACACTGGTTTGTTTCATATATAGATCTAATAAATTAGGCATTCAGTAGTTTTTGGCTTCACAGAACTTTCTTTTAATGCCTATATTATTATAACGCATGACCCCTCAGTCTATGGAGACTAAAACTAAAAACCAAACAGAGCTAACATCTAGATTCTTTATAACAGTACATTCAAGAATTTCAAAGAAACATTTTTAAAGTTTCATTTAATTTAATTTTGATTGCTTTTTAAATATTTGAAAATAATTATTTTTGCCTAACAAAGTTCAAATAGTTATTACTTTTTGTACTGTTATTAAGCTTTTTACAAAGTTAAACTGTATTTAAAGATCTTTGCTTCCGTAATAAATTCAAGATAATAAATGTGTGTTTTTGCTTTTTTTTTAAGTATTTTTTTTATTATTGATGGTATTATAGATATCTCTCAATCCCTCTTCACTTTACCCTCCTTCTCTCCGCCCCTACCCATCCCCCCAGATCTTCACTACCATTATTGCCCATGTCCATGGGCTATGTATATAAGATAATACTGTTCTGCAGTGTCATTCTGAAAGACATTTCTAACATCCTAGTAGAAAAAGGCACCCCTCAAAAAATCAATCATAGAGAATATTATTGTCTGATATAAAATTAATTTTTTCTACTTCCTTCAACAGAGTAATTTCTGATAAATGGCTTTCTATAAATATAAGAAGTTGAAATTTTACCGTGATTAATTAGATGTATGTCTTTCAGGTAATAAGACTGATAAAAATCTCACCTGAGAAACCTATAACATTGGCTGTTGGTGATGGTGCTAATGATGTAAGCATGATACAAGAAGCACATGTTGGCATAGGTGATTGATTTTTCCTTTTTCCCTGAGCTTTTAACATTGGTACAGCTATTTGGGGATTTTGAATTTTTCTTTTGTAGCTTAAAATATAGTATCAAATACTTGAATGAAAACTGAATGCAACATGGTAATATAGTATTTCCTTATCAATATTTAGAGTATTTTATTTCCAAATTTTCAAAGACATGAATACCACATTAATGAATTTTTCTATTCCAATTCTCCTTCATAATAAATTAATTTTATTTTTACATGTAATTTTATACTTTTAAAAGTACTTTCATATATTATTTTATCCCATTTAAACTCTAAATTTGTAATTTACATAGATACTTTCCTGGTTTTAAATTCTCGTTTTAGAATGTTATTGTTATTTTTTGTCAATCTAAAGATTCTGCAGCTTATTTTAAAGACAACTTTAAAGACAGAAAATCATACCAAACAGTAATAAAATATAAAATTCCAAATAGCCTTCCTACTTAATAACTTTAATTCTAAATTTTTTGCCTAGCATTTTATATTTATTTTATTTATATTTAAATTTTCAGTCATTTACTACTTAAACCATATTCTGACCTGTTTTCCTCAATAATTTTATTATACAAATACAGAAGTAAAGAGAAAAGTATGGGTTTCTCATTAAAGGGTAAATTTTTAGTTTTAGAAAAGAGTATTACTGGTCCTATTTTGGAATAATTTCTATAATATCCTGTGAGGAGTAGTTATTGGGTCTAATGCTTCTATTTTATCTCAAATAAACTCCTACTTCTTTAGGATAATTAAATTTTCATTTAGAAAGCTTAATTTTCTTTCCAATTTGTATATTGTTTCCCATAATTCTCCCTAATAATTTGATACCTTCCTATATCATATATTAAAGCATTAAAAGTGACAGTATTTATAACAGTTTGAGTCTAGTATGCTAACAGATCGACTAATGAATAGGGTAAATTTAAACAGATGTTTAAATAGATTCAGATAGATACTTACCTGGTAAAGCTATTTAAACATCAGTAGGGAAACAATTTACTTGATAAAAAGTACTGATAAAACTTGTTAAAGACCTTAAAAAGTAATAGAGGAAAAATTTAATGAATATTTGTGTATTTTGAGGTGTAAAAAGGTCTATTAAGTACAATAATAACATAAAGCAAGAAAAAGATCAATATGTGTGACAAAAGTAAATACTGTCCCAAAACAATTTTAAAGACAGAGTAGTAAAGAATGTTTTCAAAAATAGATGACAGTCTTAATATTCCTAATATATGAATTCTTAACAAATTAAGAATAAGAAAAATACTATAGTAGAAATATGTGGAAGGATGTGAGCCATCAGTTGTCAGAAAAGGAGAAATCTAAAATGAATACTAAATGCATGAAAGAAGGATTCAATCTCTCACAAACAAAAGAATGCAAATTTATATTGCCTATCAGAGTGACAAAAATTACAAAGATTGATAAAATCTGGAATTGGTAAAGGTATAGATTAGTAAATGCTCTTATTAGTTGTTTGCAAGAGTCAAATTATAAATATTTGCCTGTTGACCTGGCAATTGTGCATCTGGAATTTCCTTTTTTTTTTTTTTTAATTTCTTTATTGATTAAGGTATCACATATTTGTCCTCATCCCCCCATTCCCATACCAAACCCATCCCTATGCATGCCCCCACTCCCTTGTTGTCTGTGACCACTGGTTAGGCTTATATGCATGTATACAAGTCCTTTGGTTGACCTCTCCTCGTTACCCCCACCCTCCCCTACTTTCCCTCTGAGGTTTGAATGCTTCTCTGTCTCCGGGTGTATTTTTGTTCATCAGTTTATATTGTTCCTTATTTCCCCTAGATGAGTGGGGTCATGTGATACTAGAAATCCTACCTAATAAAAGAGTAATATGCAAATTAACCATTACCCCACTACACCCACAAGCTATGCCCACCAGCTACATCCACCAGCCTATCAGAGCGAGTATGCAAATAAACCCAATCAAGATGGCTACAGAGAGCAGGAGGAAGGCTTGGGTTTCCCAGGCAATGGAAGAATTGAGGGCTTAGTATTAAATATTTCCGCCTGCCCTAGCCAGCCTAGGCTTCAACTCAAGGCTACAAAGTTTCAATTGTAGAAGGTAAACAAATCAAAACAGAAATGGTGGCAGCCATGGAGCAAGCAGAAGGCTTGGCTCCACTCCAGACTACAAAGTTTCAATTGTAGAAGGTAAATAAATTCCAGATACCAGGGCCTCCACTTGGGTTGCCAGGGGCCGTGGCTGGCCTGAAAACCACCACAGGCCCCTCGCTTAGGCTGCCCCATGCCCCAAGGGAACTCCCACCCTGATCCAGGACACCCTTCAGGGCAAACCAGCTGGCCCCCACCCATGCACCAGGCCTCTATCTTATCTAATAAAAGAGTAATATGAAGATTGACCATTTCTCTAACACACAAGATCAAGATAGCTGCCCCCATGTGGACACAAGATGGTCAGCATGGGAGGACAGTTGGGAGGCACCAGGCCTACAAGGGAAGGCAGTTGGAGGTGATCAACCCTGCAGGGGAGGGCAATTAGGGGTGATCAGGCCAGCAGAGAAGGGAAGTTAGGGGCAAACAGGCTGGCAGGGGAGCAGTTAGGTATCAATCAGGCTGGCAGGGGAATGGTTAGAGGGTGATCAGGCTGGCAGGCAGAAGCAGTTAGGGGCAATTAGGAAGGTAGGCAGGTGAGCAGTTGGGAGCCAGCAGTCCTGGATTGGGAGAGGGATCCCAGATTGGAGAGGATGTAGGCTGGTCTGAGGGACATCTTCCTGCCCCCATGCACGAATTTCATGCACTGGGCCTCTAGTACAGTTGTAAGAACCCAAAATGAGACAAGCAATAATGGTTATGCTGAGGCAAATGAATCAGTCTGTAGTGAGTTTCTTTCTGAAATTTCTTTTAAGAAAATATGTGAATATTGTTGACAAAGACAGTGTCCATAATAATAAATTAAGAGACAAAAGTAGATTACAAAACAATCCCATTTTTATACACTTGTTTTTACATATAATAAATATATAGACATACAGAATATATGGAAGGAAAAATCCTGAAAGTATATATACCAAAAATAGTTTTCTTTTTCTAGATGCTATGAATAGAGTTGTCTTTACCTATAACACTTTCGAACATTTCTATTCTTTTATGACAAAAATTTAAATTTTTAATTTTGAAAAATAATTTTTCAAAGTTGCTTCCAGATTTAAAAAGTGAACTTGGCAATAACTCTTTTGAAAACTAAAATATTATCATAACCTAAAAAAAAAATACTCATTTATCAGATAGAATTATGTACTGATTTCAGATGATAGTATACTTTAAAAATGCATTTTGTTTGAGTTATGTGTGAAAAATTTAAAGAACTCAAACATGCTCATTTTTGGTAGGTTCAAATTATTCAGTTTCAATATTATTTATGTTCACTGAAGTTAAAACTATTTTATAGCATCCTCTCCATTAGAAATCTATTAAATACTTTGAACTTATTAGTGTAACTTATCTTCTTACTAGATCTGGGACTTTCAACATTATTTTTATATTAATTATATTTTATATTACATTCTAGACCTTTGAAAATTGTTGCTACCTGCCTAGTATATATTGTAGTTTTATATTAATTATATATTTGATTTAGAACAAATTTTGGGCAATCTACTCTCTGCTGTATCTTAGGATATAGGTTTCCTAAGTCCAACTTCAGCTGCTATAATTAACACATTCATAGATATATCATGAAAATTGTACTTAACAGTTTTCAATGAATTTACCTTTTTGCCCCTTTTATTGCAGGAATCATGGGTAAAGAAGGAAGACAAGCTGCAAGAAACAGTGACTATGCAATAGCAAGATTTAAATTTCTCTCCAAGTTGCTCTTTGTTCATGGTCACTTTTATTATATTAGAATAGCTACCCTTGTACAGTATTTTTTTTATAAGGTGAGTTTCATGGAAATAGTTTATGTTTTACTTTCTTTTTTTTAAAATGTTTTTATTGATTTTTTTTTTTTTTTTTTTTTTTTTTTTTTTAGAGAGAAAGGCAGGGAGTGAGGGAGAGAGACAGAAACATCAATGATGAAAGAGAAACATCATATATTGGCTGCCTCCTACATGCCCCCTACTAGGGATTGCACCTCCAACCCGGCATGTGCCCTGATCGGGAATAGAACCAGTAGCCTCTTGGTTCCTGGGTCGATGCTCAGCTGCTGAGCTACACTGGCTAGACTTATGGAAATATTTTAGAATCATTTATTGACAGTAAGTTGAAGCTTCAGTTTAAGGAATACTATCACCATACAAATTATTCTTAAAAATTGTTCCCATAACAGTTTTTCTTAAAAATCATTTCCATAAAATAACAGTTTATGGGATATAGTTTGATTATTAGTCATCAGTCTGATGTGTACTGACAGCAAATCGAGGATTGCCTGGTGCCAAGAGTGCAAGTTGTACAATTGACTGGAAAGGGATATGGAAAATTTTGCATGAGAGAAAAGTTAATCTAGTTTGATTGTGGTAGTGGTTACACAGGTGTATAAATTTGTCAAAACTTATAAAAAATTTACAGTTAAAATTGATACATTTTATTTTATGCATATTTGAACTCAATTAATTTGATTTCTTTTATATTATATTATTCTGTTTTGAACCAGTAGTAAGTTTTAATTTAACTTCAATATGATGGTTTTAAGCAGGCATTCTAAATCTTTTTGTGTCATGAATAACTGGTAATCAAGTGAGATGTATAGGGCTTTTAACACTTTAAGTGCCATGTAAATCACCGGTGATTAACACTGTACTTTCTAGAAAGAAAGACAAAACAGGCTTGGCACTTAACGTGTTAAATGCATAAAATTAAATACATAGGGTTACAAGAGAACCAATTATGTTGAAGTACTGTTCTGTCTCTTGACTCTTTTAAAGAAGGTAAGATTTGGTGGAACTCAAGTTAAGAGCCCCTGAGTAGCAAGACATTTAATACACCAAAATATCCTGTGTTGCCTATATATCTGTAATTAAGTAATAGCTGCAAGCCAATGAAAGAACACAGGTAGATTGCATATCCATATAAAAGAGGGAATATGCAAATTGACCATCACTCTGCTACAAAGATGGCAATGTCATCAGCAGAAGCTGGGTTTCCATAACACAAGATGGTTGTACCCACAGTGGAGGCCAAGTTCCCATTATTAGACTTAACGCGCAATAAGCAAGGACCTAAGGCTGTTTCCACCCCCCCACCTTCAGGGGGCTTGACAGGAGACCTAAGGCTGTGCCCCCCTCCCAGCACCAGTCCAGGGGACCTGAGGCTGTGGTGCACCCCAGACTCTGACAGGAGGAAGATTTTCATATACATTTTACTAATTTTATTTCATCTCTGATACTTCTATTATAGAGAAAGGGCTAATAGCAATATTAAAATATTTCTTCAGATCCCTTTTAATGTGCACAAATTTTGTGCACCAGGCCAGTGGTCTATATATATATATATAAAAGCCTAAGTGACCATTCTACCATCTGACTGGTAGCTATGAGGCTCACTGACTACCTGGGGGCAGACACTCAACACAGGAGCTGCCAAGCTACGGTGACTTGGCAGCTACGGTCTTTGGGTGATGATATCTGGAACTAGAGAGGAAGGAGCCCGATTTCAGGATACGTCACCTGAGAACCACCCTCCTGCAGTGTGGAACCCCTCAGGAGATGTTTTCGCCTAATCCTTGCAGGCCAAGCCAAGGGGCCCCACCCGTGCATGAATCTTCTAGTTGTTAATAATGATGGTGGCAGTTTTTCTTTCTAGCTTATAGTTTTGCTGTGACATAAGTATATTGAAATCAGATGTTTGACAGTTCCATTTATTCTGTTTTAAATATTTTAAAGCTACTATACCCTAAAGTTGAAATAAAACTTACTTGTGCTGTATGTGAAAATATTGAATAATAATTGGAAGGTATAAATTCAGAATTATGGTATTGCTTGGCAATGATACAAGTTGAGAGCCTTTTATTCTGACATTTGCAGTTCTGTGTAGAATACTTTCAGACATTTTTTAATAAAATGGGAATTCTGTTTTCCCATTTTGTATGGACAAGTTCTTATAGGCAGATCTGTTTTCCATATCAACTGAGACTGTGTTTTTAGACTCATTATTCATTTACAAAATTTTCTTTTGAACCTAAATATTTTAATTATTTCTATTTAATCTTGTTTTTCAGAATGTGTGCTTTATCACACCCCAATTTTTATATCAGTTCTACTGTTTGTTTTCTCAACAAGTAAGTATAAATAGAAGCTTTTGTTTTTATACGTTCAGAATAAATTATGTGTATTCAGTGTTTGATAAATCCTTGGAGGAAATTTTTCCTAGTCCTACTGATAATTAGATAAAACTTTTCTAATTAGTGTATGTATTATTCCTGTAAAATCCGTAACAAGCCAGGACAGGAAATTGTTGGGGGTATTACCTTTTTTTTTTAACATAAATTTTTTTACATTTGGAAGGAACCTTACTTACCGTTAGAGGGTAAAAGTGTTCAACAGACAAAGTGCTAACCAAATTAGTAACAATAGTAGCACATAGGACTGTTTAGAAGAGAAAACTATCATAAATGTGTAAAGTTTCATGAATCATGCTTTAAAGGAAGTGTAGGACTTAGAGGCAAAGACAAAACAGTGAAAGCAAAACTAAATGTGTAACATATCAAAGGGATAGTAAGAAACCTAGAAGCATGTAGGAGAATTATGTAGAATTATATCACAGTAACCAAATTGTGGAGAAGCTTGAAATGTAGATCCAAATCATTGTATTTCCAGATTATTTGGCATAACAAAATATTCCAATTTCTACAAGAAATATAAATCTATGAACATTATATGTGAATGCTTAAGACAGAAACAAATTGGGATTATTAAAATTGATTTTTGTATAAATTGAAAAAACTACATAGTTTTGTTTATTTTGATATGCTTCTTTGTTTTTAATATGCATAAGTATAATACATATTTCAGAATCTCAAAATTCCTATCAATTTCTCTTTCTAGACATTGTATGACAGCGTGTACCTGACTTTATACAATATTTGTTTTACTTCCCTGCCTATTCTGATATATAGTCTATTGGAACAGCATATAGACCCTCATGTATTACAGAACAAGCCCACCCTCTATCGGTAAGTATTTTCCAGTATTAAATGTCCATAACATTTCTGATTACAAGTTACCAAATTTTAAAAATAAGTAAATATTTGGTGTTTAATACTTTACTAAGGAAAATACTTTAGTTGTTGTATTGTTTATAATTGTTGAACACATAATTATTCCAATGTTTTTAGGAATGAACACTTTTACCCTAGTAATACATCAGGCAGCAGTTGTATAATTTACATTTACCATTGGAAGCCAGTAATAGTCTATTTCATGTGCACACATGAAGTAGTAATTGGTTGTCTCTTGAGTTTCTTAAATATTAATTTTTATGTTCTGGCATTGCCAAATTTATGAGTAGTAATCAATATGAAATGTAGAGTTAGGTACATTAATTCTTGTCTCATATCCTCTGCATTAGTTCTGGTTCCACAGAACCAAGTAATCACAGAGATGTAGAACTTTCCTCATAATCAGTTTTATTTCCATATTAACCTGACCTCCACTCTTATAGAGGCATTCAATTATCTGGAAATGGCAAAAATTTAACCTTGAATTCCCAGGATATCTAGGACTGGGCTTGACCCAAGATTGGCAAAGACTGGTTTTCTCATGATAGCTATTGATGGACATGAAATCTATTGGGAGCCTCAGTACTGAACCTAACTAAAATGACTCCACTAAAAAGAACAGTCATGGCAGAGTGACTAAATGTTTACAACAGAATATAATACAGATAAATCAACTTCTTACAATTAAAATAAAAAAAAATTTTTCAAATGAGAAAATGAATTTGAAAGTATTATCCCATATATATAAAACTGATATGCAAATGGCCATCACACTGTAAGGGCTCAGATACTTAACACTGTCCAGAGAGGAATGGGAATCATCCAGGCACAAATGAGCTCACGAGAGAGAAATGGGGACCAGACAGGTACAAATGAGCTATCAAGAGAAGAATGGGGACTAGAAAAGCATAAAAGAGCCTGCAAGAGTGTAATGGGGATCAGACAGGCTCAAATGAGCTTGCGAGAGAGGAATGGGGACCAGCCATTCTGTGGCCTGGGAAAGCGACAAGCCGCCTACCCCATGGTCCCAGGTGCCAGCGCCTATGGCCTGCCACGCACCCCTGGCCTCCTGTGGCTGTGCCAACCAGGGCGAAACCGGCTTGAGTCCTGGATACCTGCGGCCAGCCAGAGGGAGGGAAGCCCAGGTCCCTGATGCCTATGACTAGCCAGAGGAGGGAATCCTGGGTCCTAGGTACAGGGCGAGACAGAAGTAGGGCAATCAGGCTATCGGGGAAGCAATTAGGGGTGACCAGGCAGGCAGACGAGCGGTTAGGAGTCAGCAGTCCCAACTTGCGAGAGGCAGTCAGACATCCCCTGAAGGGTCCCAGATTAGAGAGGGTGCAGGCCAGGCTGAGGGACTCCCCTTACCCCCATGCATGAATTTCATGCACCAGGCCTCCAGACTATATATATAAAAGTCTAAGTGACCGTTTGACCATTCAACCAGTAGCTATGATGTGCACTGACCACCTGAGGGCAGACGCTCAATGTAGGAGCTGCCAAGCTGTGGTGACTTGGCAGCTGTAGTTCTCGGGGGAAGCATCCAGAACCAGAGAGGAGAGAGCCCAATTCCAGTATGCGTCACCCGAAAACCACCCCCTCGTAATCAGGGATCCCTCAGGGGATGTTGGAGAGTTGGTTTCGACCCAATACCCCCAGGCCAGGCCAAGGGACTCCCACTGGTGCATAACCCTGGTCCTCTAGTGTGAACTATTAAGATGTTATGCAGTTATATATTATTATAAGTAGTGGTTTGATTGTAATGATTATTGATTATATAAATAATAAATATGAGTTCTAATATGTTCCTTTTTCTTCTCTTTTAAAAAAAAATGTACAGAGACATTAGTAAAAATCGTCAATTAAGCATTGCAAATTTTCTTTACTGGACCATCCTGGGTTTCAGTCATGCCTTCATTTTCTTTTATGGATCCTATTTTCTAATGGGGAAAGATATATCTCTTCTTGGAAATGGCCAGGTAAAATTTATAATTTTTAAAAATTGTTAATGGTTTGATTTAATTTGGTTTTTGATAACTTTCTGTCATAAAAAATAAAAGTGAAATTCAGTTTAAAATATAAAATTGCAGATATTAAAATGCAATTATAAAAAGGTTTAAACGTTCTTTACTTGATAAAATTTTATGCAAATTAAAATAACAAGGCAATATAATGTAACCTTAATATGAAGCTCAAAGTACCAGGCAAACTTGCTCTTCAAAAATACAAGGGGCTATATTCATGTCCCTGCATGATGTTCACTCCAGAACTGTGTTTTTAATAATAGCTACTGTTTACTTAGTGCTTACTTTTGTGCTAAGCTCTTACATACCCCAAATCCATTAATCCTCACAATAATTCTGTTGGAGAGAAACTAAGACTCACCCTTTTTAGATGAGAAATAAGGATTTAGAAATAAGGATTTGCTTTTAATTGCATGAATTATTTTTTTGGTATGTTTAGGAAGTGCTACAGAGTTTTCTGCCCTTCCTGCTGTTCTCTACACAGCAGTCCACATGATCTTTTAGAAATGATAATATGATCATCTCTCTAATATGCTCAAAATCATCTGGTGTTTTATTATAAGCCACACTGATTTTTTTGTCAGTTGTACAGACCAGTTTGTTCCTGCCTTAGGACCTCTGCACTTCCTGTATTTCTTCTTGGATGCTTTTCTCAAACATGGTTTGCTGAAACATCACTGGCTCAAGAAAGTCTTTCTAGCCCACTCCTGTAAAATGCTGTCTCTTTCACCTTTTATCACTTACTGGCCCCTTACTATACGTTTACATCTCTTCATAGCACACTCTGGGAGCCCTCAGGGGTGGGAGGCGACCCTGTGATCAGGGGAAGGCGACACCTCCATCAGACCTCTACTGCTGCCATTTCTGGTAGCACAAGCCTTAGCCAGCCCTGGTTACCTGAGCCTTGGGCAGCCCTAGGCGGCTGGGCAACTTCCATCCAAGGCCTACCTGCACCTCAAGCCAGCCCTGGGCAGCTGGGGGTCAGGGGGATTCGAATGCAGGTGTGCAAAGACACTGCCACCTTGTGGCTGTGGGCGCTGCCATCTTTGCAATGGTGTGAGGGTCAGTTAGCATATTCCCTCTTTATTAGATAGGACTAGAGGCCCGGTGCACGAAATTTGTGCAAGGGGTGGGTTGTCCCTCAGCCCCGCTTACACTGTCTCCAATCTGGGACCCCTGAAGGGATGCCGCACTGCCCTTTCATAATCCAGGACTGCTGGCTCCCAACCACTCATCTGTCTGCCTGCTGATTGCCCCTAACAGCTTCTGCTCGACAGACTGATCACCCCCTAACCACTCCACTTCCAGCCTGATCGATGCCCTAACTGCTCCCTGCTGGCCTGATTGTTCCTAACTGCCCTCCCATGCCATCCTGGTCACCCCTAACTGCCCTCCCCGGCAGGGCTGGTCACCCCAACTGCTCTTTTTTGCCAGTCTAGTCACTCATAACTGCCCTCCCCCCCTTGCAGGCCTGATTGCCCCCAACTGCCCTCCCCTGCAGGTATGGTTCCCCCTCAACTGTTCTCCCCTGCAGGCCTGGAACCCCTCCAATTGTCCTCCCCTGCAGGCCTGGTTACCTCCAACTGCCCTCTTTTGTAGGCCTGGTCTCCCCCAACTACCTTCCCCTGCAGGCCTGGCTCCTCCTAATTGCCCTTCCCTGCCAGCCTGATTGCCCCCAACTGTCCTTCCTTGCAGACCAGGTCCCTCCCCATTACCTTTCCCTGCTGACCTGATTGCCCACAACTGCCCTCCCCTGCTGGCGGGGATCTTGTGTCCACATGGGGGCAGCCATCTTGTGTGTTGGAGTGATGGTCATTTTGCATATTATCCTTTTATTAGATAGGATTAGGTAACAAATTTAGTTAGAAGAAGTTATCCAAAAAATAAGCAAATAGTGGTAGTGTTTTGAGCATCTGTCTCTTCTGAGCAGGGTAGAACTAGGGTTAGTACAGTTTAAACTACACATTTTGGCAGACCTTCTTTAACCAAGAAAGAACATACAACTGTAAGTATAAGCTTAAGTATACTTGAAAATAACTGACTGGCATAAATAGATCCCACTTAACCCAAGCCAATACAATAAGCCCAACTAACTTCTCTTTAGCCAGATCCCCAAATGCCCTCTGCTTCTTTCATTTCCAACTCAAGGGGAAGTCAAAATGGAAAGAGGCAGTAGTCTTAGCTGATTAATTGCAGTTGAAATACATTACTTTTGCTAATTGCATAAAAAACAATATTAACATGTAAATGTGTTTTTATAGCTCCTTAGGGCCTCAAATGCAAGAGGAATCCCTAAATAAATTGCTTCTAAGAAAGATTCCATGTAACTGGCCCCTGTAAAACCAGATACTGTACTGAGGGATCAGACATGTACAGTGGCTCTCTGGCTGCATTTAACATCTGTCCACATAGTCCTGACAGAGGAGACTGGCACTCCTGCAAGAGCTGAGTAGAATGAGACCCATTGTTTTTCAGTATTTCTAGGTAATTTCTACAGATGATAAAAACAGAAAAAGGAGGGATTCATTATGCTTTTTCAGTCTTTTAACCAATAAACTCCTCTAATACCCTTAAATAAAAGAAAATTAATATTTTATTGTTTATAACTATCAGTTATGGATTGCTGTTAATCAGGCACCGTGTCCTTTTTGCAGACTCTAATTATAAAAACCTATAAGGTTTTCCCCCATTTTATAAATGAAAAAAGTGAGAGATACAGAGATGTTAAGTAATTTGTCAAGTAAATGCTAATTGTTAGAAATCTGTGATAACAAAACAGTCTTTTAAATAATTTTTAAAGCAATAGTAAAGACTATGACTATTTTATGAACTAAGTTAAAATAGATTTCTAATTATGTTTTTATTTGTGGAACTAAAATCCTGACAGTCTTTGGGGATTCTGCATTTTTAATAAACTATGTAAGTTTTGCTATTAAAAAAAGCCCAGGGGAATGAATACTTTCTGACCGACATTAACACCATTTTTATAAGGAATCCTTGAGGAGTACATAATTCTATTAGCCATTATCTTTCAGGTATTGGTTTTTTGTGTAATTTTTCCCCCTGCTCTGTCTATGCCATGTCCAGAAATACAGTGGTAAGTTATCTGGTATAACTTCCGGTGGAAATGGTTATAAAAAGTAATTGTTATCAAACAGGGTTTTGTTATCACTTTTACTGTGTGACAGGAATGAAGCAGTCACTAGATCTTTCTAAATAAAAACAGTCTATGCCACATAATTCCAAATCCATTTTGGGTTTTCAGTCTTATAATGTTATGCAATGGATAATAATAAACATAGTAATTCTTGTGATATTTCTTCTCATACTCCTTTAACTTTACTAATCTAGTCACAGATTTCAAATGTAACTGGCTTAAATAATGCAAGTGTTTTTGGTAAAGAATGAAGTTTTTTCCTGCTTAACTTCCAACTTAGCATCATGGTGACACATAGTGCAATAATGGTTTATTCTTTCTTTTTAGATGTTTGGAAACTGGACATTTGGCACCTTGGTCTTCACAGTAATGCTTATTACAGTCACAGTAAAGGTATGGCACAGAAATTAGACAGATGAACACACTTGGTATATATATAATTCATAGTTAAATTTCTTTAGCCATAGATGCATATTTTTTTTTTCTTTCTTTAGTCATGAATTATTTCACTGATTGCTATTTAATAATTCATTTTTGTCAAAAATATTTTCTTAAGTTCATTATTTTGAAAAGCATCTGCTGATTATTATGGTCAATAACGGTTAACCCCACAGTACTCATCTCTGAAATCTTGCTTCTCTGTATATATTGCATGACAGCACAAGTTCTTTCAGGCAATGGAGTTAAAAAGTACTCATGAAATTTCAATGCTTTTTCCTCACAGGAGAAAAGTATTATAAACTTTAATTGTTCAGTTTAATGCTAGGATTCTTACGTTAATATTTGTCTTCTAAGAAACTTTGTCATAGGAACCTTACTCACTTAAAATTAATTTATTTAACTCATGATTTTTATCTTGGAGGTAAAGACTTATGTTAAGGATTTAAATTTTTTTTTTTTTTCCTTTTAGATGGCTTTGGAAACTCATTTTTGGACCTGGATCAACCATTTTGTTACTTGGGGATCTATTATATTCTATTTTGTATTTTCTTTGTTTTATGGAGGGATTCTCTGGTGAGTGATTATATTGTATTTTAATTACATTGATTCAACGCTGATAAATACAGGTGGGCAAAAGTAGGTTTACAGGTTTTAGTATGAAAAATAATACAATTCTATATAATAAAGAGCTAATATGTTAATTTGACCGAACAGCAGAATGACCGTCTGAATGAAGCCAAGGCTACGAGGGCCACCTGAGGCTGTAAGGGCTGGCTAGGCTAAGAGGGGCTGTGAGGGCTAAGCCCTTTGCTCGAATTTCGTACATCAGGCCTCTGGTAATTAATAAACAGTAATAAAAAATAAATAAACTTTTGTGTACTCACAACTGTAAACTATTTTTTCCCTACCCCTGTGTTGTGATAGATTTTATTTTGAACAAATAATCTTGAGGTCCTACAAATTTACATCTTTCAGTTGATCTTACTGATATAGAGTAAAAAGAAACTAACAATTACTGAATAGTATGTTCTAGGTGTTTTACCTAAGATATTACATTGATTCATCACAATAATCTTATAGTCTCCATATTTTCTATATGGAAACTGAGCCTTAAGATTCCAAAGGTTAAAAAAGAATAAAGCTAGGATTCAAACCCCAATTATTTTATCCCACAATTAATGTCCTTAACACTAGCCATATTTTCTCTATATTATTTACTAATAAACATACTAAAATGTCATATTGAGCCATTAAGTTTTTATGAATGACAACTTTTCTGTGAAAACTAAATAGTATGCTTCATCTTCATTGGTAAATTACCACTCATATTTTCAGCTACTATCATAGATTAAAAATTAATGCTTCTACTAAGAATCTTTTATAAGTGATGAACAACTAAAGTCTCTCATTTGGAGAATTTATAATACATTTGTCTGCTGTGCCTTTGACCCCTGTATTGGGCAGAAAATTATAGAAGATGAGCAAAAAAACTTAGATTAGCTAAATAATTATCTTCCACTTAGGATCATAGCAGGATACTCTTTTGAATAACACTTGTTTATAATGTTTGTTTTTAATGTTCATTATTTTTTTCATTTCTTTCTCTGTTTCCCCTTTTTAAAATATATTTGTAGAAAAGAACCTCTAAGTAGAACTTTTCAACCTAAGATTTGGATAATCAATCTTTTAATTGCTTAGTAGAGAATATTTTATTACATACTTTTTCTTATTTATTGGTCTCTTAAGTCTGTATTACTAAGTAATTCTTTTGATAACCTACTAAGAGTTATCTAGTCAACTACTTGTCACTTTTCTAATAAAAACTATAGTTGTCATTGAAAGTAATTAAATTGAATTTTATTTTTAATAATTAAAATCTATCTTATTTTATTAGTTATTCAATTAATAACTGGTTCTAAATTTTGAACATTATTCCAAACTTGTATTCCAAATTAAATTGTAAATCTTTACATGTAAACTCACATGACTTGATTTATCAGCCGAAATCGGTTTGGCTCAGTGGTAGAGCGTCGATCTGTGGACTGAAAGGTCCCGGGTTTGATTCCGGTCAGGGGCATGTACGTTGGTTGCAGGCTGCTGGTCGATGTTTCTCTCTCATCGATGTTTCTGGCTCTCTATCTCTTTCCCTTCCTCTCTGTAAAAAATCAATAAAATATACTAAAAAAAGAAAAGAAACCCTTATCAGTTTCTACTTTTATTAATCCCACTTCCTTTCTCTGCAGGCCATTTTTGGGCTCCCAGGATATGTACTTTGTATTTTTCCAGCTCCTATCAAGTGGTTCTGTTTGGTTTGCCATAATCCTCATGGTGGTAATATGTCTGTTTCTTGATATTGTGAAGAAAGTATTTGACAGACATTTCCATCCTACGAATACTGAAAAGGCACAGGTAACCATTTTTATATACAAAACCTTAATTTAGGGGTTTTTAACAGCGAATATCTATCATTATAATTTGCTTATATCAGAAAATAAGAAATTATTCATTTCTGTATTAAGCATTTTACAGTGTAAATATTAAGTCTGATCTTTCTAAAGTTATTCTGTTAATTGTATGACTCTTGACACATAGTAGATGCTTAAGAAATAATAGCTACTTAGTTTACTGTGCTTTGTTTATATATTTGACTTGTACATGAATCAGAAGTCTGATGAATTTGTCTTATTACTATACCATAGCATTGGATCCATAGGCTCAAGAATACATTCTAATTAACATTTATGCCTCAATAAACACAGATTTTTTCATCTAGATTTGGAAATTTAGTTACATATTCTACAAATAGAATGTGTTTCCCTAAGAAAGGATTGAGTTTAGCTTCCTACATGGTGCATTGGGCTTTTTGTTTGTTTTGTTTTGTGGTGCTTTTTTGTGAATGCTCACCTGGGGATATTTTTCCCATTGATTTTTTAGAGAGAGTGGGAGGGAGGGGAAAGAGAGAAGAAACATCTATGTGGGAGAGACACATCAATTGGTTGCCTCCCACACGTGCTCCAACCAGGGCCTGGGATCTAACCTACAACAGAAGTACATGCCATTGACCGGGAATCAAATCCATGACCCTTTGGTGTGCAGGCCAATGCTCTAACCACTGAGCATACTGGCCAGGGCAGCATTGGTTTTAATTTCAGTAATCATGTCAACATTTTTTTTAACCTTTATTTATTTTGGTAACTCAGTCCTAACCAATATACATTTTAACACCAGTGAAGCAGCATAGGCCTCCAAAGTATGGCAAACTTAATTCAGAGGCCGTTTTAACCATTTATAAAATGTGTGCCTTTAATCAAGTCATTCTCCTAAGCCTCAGTTTCGTCCTCTGTAAAATCAGAATGATAACTACTGTCATACATGATTCTTAGAGATGATGAATATAAAACACCTAACACTGGGCTGTATGTAGTAAATCTTCAGTAAAATCATAATTAGCCTTCGATTCCTAGTCAGGGCATATATAAGAAACCACCAATGAATACGTAAATAAATGGGACAACAAATTAATATATATATCTCACTCTCCTCTCTCCCTACCTTCTTCCCTCCCTCCCTCTCTTTCCCTCCCTTTCCTCTATCTCTCTGAAATCAGTTTTTAAAAAATCATAATTACAAGAATGATGAGGTTGTGATCTCCAAATAAGGCTAAATAATTGGCATAATCTGATTACTGTACATATGCATATATTTATATGAGTATGGAAAAACTTCTACTCTGCAGTCTATTACTTAAATATACTAGTATATCAGAAAAGTTAATCTACCTTTTTTAATCTTAAGAGAGAAATATTTACAGTAACAGAAGAATATATATATATAATAATAAAATCACAATATGCTAATTAGACCTGACGCCTGGAAGGATGAAGCCGCTGCAGCACGAATTTCATGCATTAGGCCTCTAGTTTTTAATAATTGCCTATTATACTTTTTCTAGACCTTTATGAAGATTACACATTGGTCTCCCCCTTGGCCTATAGAAAGTTGATTTCACCAAAATATATTAATGACATCACTTTAAAAACTATTCTTATTTTTTTTTATGTTTTTTTCTTGATTTCAGAGAAAGGAAAGGAGAGGGAGAGAGAGATAGAAACATCATTGATGAGAGAGAATCATTGATCTACTGCCTCTTACACAATTGAGCCTGCAACCCAGAGTTGCCCTGAGTGGGAATCGAACCGGTGATCTCTTGGTTCATGGGTCAACACTCAACCAACTGAGCCATTCTGGTCAAGCAAAACTTTGTTCTTTATAAAAGTAAATAATTAGATTTATTTACATTTACCCTTAGAAATCTATAATAGGCAGGGCATTTGCAAATTATGATGTATTTTCATAGACTTCTTAATAAAGGTGATAATATTAGTTCTTGTTACCTTTTTGATAGCCTCTTTCTAAAGGATTACATAGGAAATATTTTGTACCTTAAGGAGGACTCTTAGACAAGAAAAGGTTAAAAGTACCTTATTTATATTGCGGTTCTTTTATTTTTTAAATATTTTTTTTATTGATTTCAGAGAGGAAGGAAGAGGGAGAGATAGAAACATCAATGCTGAGAGAGAATCATTGATGGCTGCCTCTGCACACCCCCTACTGGGGATCAAGCCCACAACCCAGTCATGTGCCTCAGGCCAATGCTCTATCCACTGAGCCATACTGGCTAGGGCAATATTGTGGTTCTTTAAACGTAGGTTAAAATTGATTAAAAATGGAATGTGTAATAAATCACTCATTCTATCGGTGTGTGAAAGCTGCCATAATCTCCCTTTTTGTCCTTCTAAATTTATTTTAAAATGACTTGACAGGTGTTCTATGTTTTCTAATCCAAAGAGGAAATCTCTGCTTCCACTCAGGAATCTTCTGTGTTTTGTTTTTTTCCCTTCAGCAGTATATGGTCATTCAGATCCCAGGTGTAACATTATTCCTTTGCTGTAAGCAGTAATCTTTATTATTTCAGCCTTATACTTTCACCTTTCAGTTCATATGATGAAGAATAATTAGAAAAGTTGTCAGCCATTTTATTGCTTACCAGAAAAATCATATCAAAAGAAAAGTTGTCAGCATTTATTTTTCACTTTGTTTTACTCCAGAATAACAATGTGGTGTTAAGCATGAAGAAAGCGAGTAGTCCTACAAATGTCAGTCATGTATATATATATATATGTATATGATGTATGATATTTCCCGCTTTTATAGGGACAGATGTGTCTTTATATAGCTTGTCCTGTGTCTGTCTCTTAGGTGATGAATACAGCTCACTGACTCTTTGTATGTCCCATCTCTTTTCTGTCCACTTATAGATGTACTCCAACACAGTTGCTTTAAGTGACGAGTTCATCGCACTGCAGCCATTGTCAAGGGCAAGGAATCAGCTGAGCAAATTTAGGTAGAGTAGGAGTAGACGCTTATTAACTTCTGCATGCTAAAGGGCAATTAAACACTATTTAAAAGATGGGCAGAGGCATGAATTCAGAGTGGGCCATTTTTTGTTAGCACAGCTGTCTCTAATTTGACCTTTATTACTATGTATGTTAAAACCTAAAAAAAAAAAAAATCCATTTCTTCATTGAGAAGAAAATTCAGCAGAACAGGACAGAGATCTGTACCTTGTTATAAATTTTACACTGTTTTTTATAGCACAATTTTAATGCTTCTGCTTGTCATATTCATATTTAAGAATGTTCCTGCATGTTGAGAAATTTAAGCTAACAAAATTCACCAAAATGTAAAGTTTTAAGTTTCTGTTACTTGAAAGTGAGAGTTGCTCATTTTTTATCTTGCCTCAATCTGTGCATATTTGTCTTTGTACATTGTAATGGCTGCTGAAGCATTTCATATCCTTGCTTCTGTTTAGTGCATCTATAAATTGAACATATACTTTATAGCTCTTATATATACCTTTATCTCTACAGACAGTCCCATTCTGTCAGTTACCACATAAAAAAAAATCACACACCCAGTAATCTAGAGAATTATTTTGATGGAAGAAAATGAAAGCTTTCATCCTAGATCTGTTAGTATTAAGATACCAAAATCAAATAGTGTTAACTTTAATTCCAGTCTGGTTTGAAGAGGAAAAAGTAATATAACTAAAATATTTGTTTAATTTTGGCACTCTTTAGTTTCTCATTCTATCAGTATTTTGTGGATTCTTAATCATATGTTTTATATATATCAGATGCCCAAAAAAATGTATGCATACACTTTGAATAATTATAAAGGCAGTGTTTATTAAAATATATTTCATTTTCAAAATTGAGCTTTCAGCTGTTAAAGTATGTATACATTTTTTTAATATCCTATAGTTTTTAAGTCTTTTTTATTCTCAAGGTTTCTAATCTCTACATTCACTTGATCAAATCAACATTTTGGAAAACACCACTTAACCTTTTATGGAACTCTGTGAGTTTACAATTTTGAGCTCTTCTAAAGTTTTACCAAATCTATTTTATTTTTTTATTTTTTATTTTATTGATTTTGTACAGAGAGGAAGGGAGAGAGATAGAGAGTTAGAAACATCGATGAAAGAGAGTCATAGATCAGCTGCCTCTTGCATACCCCCTACTGGGGATATGCCCGCAACCAAGGTACATGCCCTTGACCGGAATCGAACCCGGGACCTTTTAGTCCCCAAGCCGACGCTCTATCTATTGAGCCAAACTGGTCCCGGCTACCAAATCTTTTGAATTTATTATTATCTTCAAGATTTTTGAAATATTCTACTTTGAATTACAGTTATAAGAATTACGGATGAATATACAAATGAGTTTAAGTGCTAGTCATCTAAATTTTATGTTTAAAACAAAAACTAAAACAATCTTGAAGATTTGTCTTCACCTTTGGTTGAGCCAAATAGGTTTATCACCTTTTATCTGTCTGTGCTTCTCTGAAAACACTGGGTATTCATTATATATTTGAATAGCTAATTAACTCTAAGGCAATAGGAAAGTTCATTATTTAAAGAACATTATTTTGTCAAGTAAAGGTAACTTTTGCATTGAGAATAATAATATTTTTATGAAATCATATTTTACATTTTGTGTTGACTTAAATGAAGCCACAAAAAAAGAATGCGGTAAAAAGATCATAAACTAGAGATTTCAGGCTCCATAAATCATGTAACAAAACAGTAAGTTTGACATTCATCTCCGCAAGACCACAGTGATAGCAGGCTATGTCGGTCAGGTAGTCTTTGCTGCAAGTCACTCTCCAACCAGGTGGACGAAGACAGGGGAGATAGTGGACTGTCAAATGCTGATGCTGTCCTTAGCACTGCTTCCTACATGTCCAAACCAAGTTCACCTCTCTGAGCTTCCAGTTCCTTACCCATCAGATGGTCATTTCACAAACTGTGATTTACTTCCTTACGATCAGTATCAAAGGAAAAAAGA